CGCTATAGACGCACACCCCATCTCCCGACCCATACTCTCTGAGCAGGCTCAGAGAGTGGCATGACTCTACCAAGGCCCGTGCCCTTGGCCATGGCGAGAGTGAACCCTGCGTCTACCGTCTTCGCTGGCGCTGTTGCAATTGGCGGGAGATGAGTTGGACGAGGGGCTGTGCAGCTTGACCGCGCACGTTGCCGCTGCTGTGCAATCAGCACTGGCACGACCCACTGGTAGACTGGGTGAAAATCACCCATTGACTTTGGCCGACATTAGTATTTACGGATACAGTGGGTGATTGTATACAATAGACCATACCATGAGTGATCCAAGGCAATCACCCACATCGCCTCAATCAACCACATATCAACCAGACCGTGGGTGAATGGTCGATATCCCCCATCATGTGGTCGATATCCCCCATCATGTGGTTGGTAGCAACCCATTCTGGGGCTCATAGTGATATGTTGGCTCCCCTCTTGTCCACGGCTGCAATTCAGTAGTTTCATAATCATGATGTCACTAACGTTTTCTCTCGTGCCTGTGCGCAGCGTTCAACGCAAGCGACAAGAAAAGCATCGCCCCAGATCTTGCTCGCCGCTTCGCGAGCCCGCGTATGCCCAAAAGTAAGTAGTGTCGTCGCGGCATTCACAAGCCGGACATCTCCGAGCTTCTCCGAACGCGCGCCGTTAGCCTGCCGAACCCCGATTCCAATGCAAAATTGTGGCGGAGACTCAAATATGGGCACGCGGATCTGATGCTCCGTCCGGCGCAACCTCCAGCTTGGCCGTCCGGCCACCAGCAGGCGCTGTGCTCGATCGTTCTCCATCCCTGCGATCCATTTTCTTTCCTCTCCACAACCTCACCCTCCTCCTCCTCCTACTCCTCCTCCTCGTCTTCCTCGTCTTCTCTACCTCCAATTTCCGTCAACTCGACAGTTGCGGACCGCCGAGCCACCGACGTCAGATCTCAGCTCGCCTCGCACTTTCCTTTCCGGGCGTTGCTCCGTTTCTCCATCAGAGACGGTTTCACCCCGACGCCCTCCGTCACCCCCAAGACACAAACGAGGAAGGACGAAGACGACGATGCTAGGATCGCGCACACGTCGCGCGGGCGCGCTTGCAGCTGCGTTATGGGTCTTGGGAAGCTCCATGCCCGCTCGGGCAGCGAGCTCTCTTGCGGGGACGTTCGCCGATGGAGGCGACACGCTGGTCAGCGCGATGATGGTGCGTTTTTCTTACCGCCAGATACCCCCGTTGCATGTATACAATGACGCGAGACGCAATGTGACTGACATTCCTCGTTCGTGCTGCAGATGTTCCTCGGCAACTCCGAAAAGGTGTACATCCTCGACAAGGTTGAAGGCAACAGTGCGCAGGTGAACGGCCATCCGGCCTGGGCGGCGGTGTACGACATCGCCTCGCAGACAGCCACACCCATGGACGTCCTCACGAACACGTTCTGCGCCTCCGGGATGCATCTCCCGAACGGCTCCTTCGCCACCTTCGGTGGCAACGGCGCCATCGCTCCGGGCGGCAACATCGGCTCGGTCCTCAACCAGGGCGGCGCCAGCGCCGCATACGACGCCACCTACGAGGACTTTGACGGCACCAAGTCAATCCGGATCCTCAACCCGTGCTCGTCGGCGACGATCTCGGCCGACGCCTCCGCCCTGAACGCGAACGCAAGCTGCGGCTGGTACGACAACCCGTCCGTGCTCAGCATGCAAGGCCACCGGTGGTACTCGACCGCGGAGGCGCTCGCGGACGGCAGCATCGTCATCATCGGCGGGTTCACCAACGGTGGATATATCAACCGCAACTACCCCAACACGGATCCGACGTACGAGGGCGGCGCGGCCAACCCCACGTTCGAGTTCTTCCCCTCGCGTGGCACCGAACCGGCTTTGATGCAGTTTATGACCACCACCTCCGGCCTCAACTCGTACCCGCACGCGTTCCTGATGCCGAGCGGCAAGATGCTCGTCCAGGCCAACTTCTCCACCGGTGCGTATTTATGCGTACATTGTATGAGCGCATATACTCACCTCCTATCGCGCATATAGTGCTCTGGGACTACAACGAAAACGTCGAGACCGCGCTTCCCGATATGCCGGGCAAGGTCATCCGCGTATACCCTGCCTCCGGCGCGACCGCCATGCTCCCCCTCACGCCCACGAACAACTACACCCCGACCGTACTCTTCTGCGGTGGCTCTGACATGCCCGACTTTGCATGGGGCAACTACTCCTGGCCGTTCATAGATACCTGGGACTACCCCGCGTCTAAGGACTGCCAGCGGATCACGCCCGAGCAGGCCGACGGCACGTTCAACACGGACGTCGCGTACGAGCAGGACGACGACATGATCGAGGGCCGGACTATGGGCCAGTTCATCATCCTCCCGACGGGCAAGCTCCTCGTCGTGAACGGCGGCGTGAACGGTACCGCGGGCTACTCGACCCAGACACTTACCACCACGTCGTACTCGCAAATGCCGTTCGGCATGTCGCTCGCCTCCGGGCCCGTCGGTACTCCTGCGCTCTACGACCCGACCGCTCCCGCGGGCTCGCGCTGGTCGAATGAAGGCTTTGACTCTTCCACGATCCCGCGTCTGTACCACTCCACCGCGCTCCTCCTCCCTGACGCATCCGTCCTCATCGCCGGCTCGAACCCGAACGTTGACGTCAACACCTCCACCGTCTTCCCGACGACGTACAAGGCCGAGATCTTTTACCCGCCTTACTTCTCCGCGACCACCCGTCCGTCGCCCTCAGGCGTGCCCAGCACGCTCTCTTACGGTGGTGACGCCTTCGACGTGCTCATCCCTGCCGACTCGTACTCGGGCGCGGCGAACGACGCCGCGGACAACACAACCGTCGCCGTCATCCGCCCGGGCTGGACGACGCACGGGATGAACATGGGCCAGCGCTTCCTCCAGCTCAACAACACCTACACCGTCAACTCGAACGGGTCCATCACGCTCCACGTCGCGCAGCTCCCGCCGAACCCGAACCTGTTCACGCCCGGCCCCGGGCTCGTGTTCGTGACCGTGAACGGCATCCCGAGCAACGCGACGTGGGTCACCGTCGGCTCGGGCAACATCGAGACGCAGACGACGGCCGCGGCGGCGGAGCTCCCCGCGAGCGTCCGCCTCGATGGCGTGTCCGGCACCGCCGACGGCTCATCCACCTCCACCTCCTCGTCTTCCGGCTCGTCCTCAGGCTCGTCCGGCACCAACGGCGGCTCCAGCGACGGCGGCTCGCACACGGGCGCGATCATCGGCGGCACGATCGCGGGCGTCGCCGCGCTCGCGATCATCGCGGCCGTCGGCGGGATCATATACGCGCGCCGGAAGCGGGCGAGGAGGCAGGCGGCGCTCGCGAACCCGTCGTACGGTATGACCGCCGCCGGCGCCGCCCCGGTGTCGACTTCGCGCGGCGTGGGCGCCGTCGCGGGCGCGGGCGCGTATGGGACCGGCAGGAGTGCCGATTTCGAGCCGTTGGCCGCGAACGGGAGCACCGCCGCGCTGCATCATCCGTACGGGTACGCGGGCGGGGCCGCGGCGTATCGGGACGACGACGGCGCGGGCGGGAACAGGCCGTGGTTGAACTCGCCCGTGGGCAGCCATGCGAGCACGGGCGATTTCGATCCGTATGGAGAGGGGCGCATGCAGCGGCATACGTGAGCGTTGTTCCAAGTTTTGTGTGTATGTGCTCGGGTGTAGGTGGAATGACTGCGTGCATATATGGATCTTGTTTCCCATCTGCTTCCTGATGTGTACGGCTCGTTCTAATACGGACTCCCCATCTTACATCATTATCTTTCTACTTTTCTCTGTCTTTCTCCCTTGTTTGTGTGTTGATATCGCAACGCTATATATTGTCCCACACGTCTACAGTCGAAAAGTCCGGGACTGCGTTTTGTAGGCACAACGAATTGCGCGGCGGGGCGTATTCCGCCGCATGTTACATACATTGCTATTTCCTACCGCGTGTTGTATGGTCGTGCGATGACCCCCCTGCTCCCTCGTCGCCACTGGAGATATGTGTCTGTTGACTCCCTCCTCCTCGGCCGATGCGTTTAATTGGCTTTGGCAACCGACATTGATAGGTAGGTCATGCGGCTCGAGTTGTCCGGTAGGCGTGGTGAAAGTCGCTTCAAGCCCAGCGCTAGCACAACGGTCGTGCTACGGGTTATCTTCAGCCTCTTGACTCGGTTTGCCATTGCCCTCCGAGGTCTGCCTACTCCAATCACGCTGTGCGCAGGACGTGACGTTCGACTACTCACCGATTGTGATAGGCGCCGTCGTTTCTCCTCCTGCCGAGAGCGGGTCTCCGAAGTCGTGATAGAAGTTTACACGTCGCACCAGGAGCCCTAGGAACGTCAGCCGTCAGCTGCGGAAACAGGTTTGAGCAAATGACGATCCTATCGTGGGTTCAAGACAATCTTTCGGGCTAGCAGAGCCGGCGAAACTGATACCGGTGGAGGCCGTGGAGAGTCCACCTTCTGTACGCGAAGTTCGCACGCGTCCCAAATCGACAACTACTCCATCCGCCTGCATTTGTGGTCGCATGTGAGCCCGAGCATTGAGCATCGTCACTACGGAAGTTGCATATGAGTGGATGCTCCGCGTACGGGAAAGGGGCGTACACATGGTATTGACGTACAGCTTGGAGAGCACGAGGTGAAAGAATACTCACCTATGTGCGATATTGTGGACGGTGAAGCTGCGGACGGAGAATTGGTGAGTTGCGGTTCAGTGACGAACAACGCTGAACGAGGAAGGCTTACAACAGGATGAACAGGAATCGGAAAACTGTCACCAACACACCGCGAAGGGTGAAGAACATGAGAATCTTCTTGACGACATTACCGGTGCTATACAGGCAGATGAGCATATGGGAGATGGTATCCAATGTGAAAGGCGATTCAACCTACGTCAGGCCTGATCGATAGTCCCTCAGCTCCAGCAGAACGAGGCCGTCGCACATACGTCCGCGACGAGCTCGTTAGCGCCCCACGTTATGACCGCGTACTAGACATGGGAAATATTGGGATGTCAGCGAATGATATGACACGAATTCAGAACGTCGGGCGCACATGGAGGAATCCGTTGCTTAATATGCGCAAAGTCGGCTTCATGACAAGCTTCACGGAGATCAATAGGCCGAGCACTGCACTTTAGTGAGTAAGTAATCGGTGTTGTATGAGGAGGGCAGTTGTTGGATGAATCAATGACTCAGGCTTGCGACGGAGAATGCGGCACAGATTACGAGTGCCGCGATACGCACGGGTCTTTTGACGTGTTAGGAGACTAGACAGGAATTGTATTAACGCATCGCTAGTAGAATCAGTAGACCGGACTCACCGATTCTCAGTTGCCAAGTGAAAAACATCTGCACAGCGAACACCAGGACGTCGGCCAACGCGATTTCGACAGCGAAAGTCTGCATGAAGCGACGAATGGATCATAGACTGCGCAATTGCTGCCTGTGTGCTCACATCCACATATGTTAGCGCGGCTGGTTTTCCGAAATTGTCGACCTAAGAGATGGAGTATCAGCCAGCTTGATTTACATGGTGGTATATCCACTTTAACAGTGGCGGAGAATAGCATGATGCATGACGTAGACTTACGAAGTAATGCTGTATCGCGACAGCAACAAGTACCGAAGATACTACATCCACGGCCTATGCATGTGCTAAAGCGCTCAAATCCAAAACGTGATCACGCGCACATATCACACGACGATCACCACGAAAATGCGCAGTGACGATCTATCCTTGTTGTCGGTCCAAAATATCCACGTTTGCACGAGCGTCACACCGCATAAGATGGTACTGAAGAACATGCCTGAGGATAACGTGAGTGCTCATCACGGATTTGATGCACAATGAGAGCTCACCCCACACCAGCCACCTGCAAACGAGAAAGTGCAAGAAATGATATCAGATCTTGAAGAGATATGAAGCCGATGGCCGCGCGATAGCCTACAATTCATCGTTAAATTTCCACAGGCTGTGATTTTGTACCAGATCTCAACTTGCCCCATTGGTTTTCTCTGCGACAGCCGTCATACTTGCTTGTATGGAGGCGCTTGTGTGAGATGCCTAGGATACAAACTCGCGAGGTGCCCGCCAGAGATATTCGAGACTTTATAAACCATCAAATCCGAAACAATATCGGGCGTATGTTAGCCATCGCCTGAAAAGTGTTTCGAGGAAGCGCGGCGGCGGTCGATAATGGGAAGCTTATTTGAAAGCGTCTGACGACCAAGGAGGCTGAGAAGCCTAATGATCCTCCTGCTTTTATACTCCGTAACGCCTGAGAGACGTTTGTTGCAGTTCTGAGTGCTTGTACACAATCGCCTGGTGTAGTGTAGGTAAACTCAGCTTGCGACAAGCCTAAGCACCCGCCAGTCGCGTCCAAGTTGCCATCGATCGCGAGTGTGAGTAACGCGGAAGAACCTAGTCTTTCGTAATGATCGAGGTCGTAACAACAGCCTGGTATGCAGTCAATGCCCCGACATCGTAAGGCTGAACGCTGATACGTATTCTGTCGCCGTTTTGGGCAAAGTTTCCTCAGTTCCGAAGCGAGTGGAATCAGAAAAGAGGCTCAAATAACGCAAGGGTGCGCGCCCTGGGAAGCGTGGCTCGTGTCAATGCCTACAGATCGAGAAGAGTGCGCGATGAGTTCCGGCGGGACTCAGAAATCGGTGAGCTGCAATTCGACGCGGTTCCGGGACAAGGGGTCGTGGGCAATTTTGAACGAGATGGGTATGATATCACGGGACTTCGGTGTTTTACTGCAGTCGCCACCATCGCAATCTGTCCCGGGTTGGCTTCAAGTTCTACCTCATTCACGGTAAATGAAAGGCACCGTTACAATGGTCGTAATCAACAAGATTGCGCCGCTCTATGCTCTGCTGTAGAATACTTATATCGAGATGAGCTAGAAAACTCTGCTTACCTGCTTTCGCACGTCCTTGAATCCGATCAGTCGCGTCTTCTTGGCAACACCCCGCTGAGTTAGCGCCGAATCCCGGACTCGTCGCACCTGGACCAAGGCGAGAACAGGCCGAATGAATAAAACGACGGAAAGCTGAGCGCGTAGGCTCATCGTCCTCCTCGTACCCAACCTCTGTAGGATCGCCCCAGCGGTCTGACCAGCGCCTCCTATTTTGGTTCAGAGCGTCGGTATCCTCAAGTAACGGATTGAACTCGCTGAGGATGCTCGGTCGAGGAGTCTTCCTCGCTCTTCAGCTATGGCTTGGATCGGCTGTCGCTGCAGACTCCTTAGCGGGAACATTCGCAGATGGTGGCAATACGCTAGTTAGCGCCATGATGGTACACCACGCTGAGGAATGTGCTTCTCTCGAGCTCACGCCACGCTAGATGTTCCTGGGCAACGACGAAAAAGTGTACATACTGGACAAGGTCGAAGGGAACGCGGAGGAAATCAACGGGCACCCAGCATGGGCTGCTGTATGGTAAGTTATCGCAACAAGTTCCCCTTCCTGTGCTCATACGGAATACTAGGGACATTAATACGCGTCAAGCGACGTCCATGGACGTCCTCACGAACGCGTTCTGTGCCTCCGGGATGCACCTCCCGAACGGCTCCTTCGCCACCTTCGGCGGGAACGGCGCCATCTCACCCGGTGGTAACCTTGGCTCGGACCCTTATCCTGGCAACTTCTCCGCGTTCTACGACAGCACGTATAAGGACTTCGATGGCACCAAGTCCATCCGCATCCTGAATCCATGCTCGTCCTCTACCATCTCGGCCGACCCCTCCGTTCTGGCGCAAAATGCGAGTTGCGGGTGGTACGACGATCCCTCTGTGCTGTCCATGCAGGGGCAGCGCTGGTACTCCACCGCTGAACCGCTCGCGGACGGGAGCGTGGTCATCATCGGAGGTTTTGTGAACGGTGGATATGTCAATCGAAACTACCCGAACGTCGATCCGACGAACGAAGGAGGCGCTGCGAACCCGACATTCGAGTTCTACCCAAGCAGGAATGAGCCAGCGGCGCAGATGGATTTCATGACGAAGACGAGCGGATTGAACGCGTACGCACATGCGTATCTGATGCCTAGTGGCAAAATGCTTGTCCAGGCCAACTATTCGACTAGTAAGCATCACCCTTCTTTCCTGGGACGCGCTGCTGAGCAGCTATTAGTACTATGGGACTACAACGAGAACATTGAAACCCCTTTACCCGACATGCCCGGCCAGGTTATACGCGTATATCCGGCCTCAGGAGCTGTCGCGATGCTGCCGCTCACCCCTGCGAACAACTACACGCCCAGCGTGTTATTCTGCGGAGGGAGCGATATGCCCGACTTCTCATGGGGCGATTACTCCTGGCCATACGTCGATACCTGGCTTGTTCCTGCTTCCAAGGATTGCCAACGTATTACGCCCGAGCAAGCCGATGGCACGTTCAACACGAGCGTCCAATACGAGCAGGATGACGACATGGTGGAAGGGAGGACGATGGGCCAGTTCATCATCTTGCCGACCGGCAAGCTCATGGTGTTCAACGGAGGGATAAATGGCACGGCGGGGTACTCGACGCGGACGCTTACCACTCTGACCTACGGGGCCATGCCGTACGGGATGTCGCTTGCCTCCGGGCCCATTGGGACGCCAGCCATGTACGATCCTGACGCCGCCCCCGGACAAAGGTGGTCAAACGAGGGCTTCGACACGTCCAACATCCCGCGCTTGTATCATTCGACCGCCCTCCTTCTCCCCGACGCATCCGTCCTCATTGCAGGGTCCAACCCGAACGTTGACGTCAACACGAGCACTGTCTTCCCGACGACGTACAAAGCGGAGATCTTCTACCCGCCCTACTTCGCGTCCCCAACACGCCCGCAGCCACAAGGCGTCCCCACCTCGCTCAGCTACGGCGGTCCCTCCTTCGACATTACGCTCCCCGCCAGCAGCTACTCCGGCGACGCGAATGACGCCGCCAGCAACACCACCGTCGTCCTCGCACGCCCGGGATGGACGACGCACGCAATGAACATGGGCCAGCGGCATCTCCAGTTGAACAACACCTACACCGTCAACTCGAACGGATCCATCACCCTCCACGTTTCGCAAGTGCCCCCGAACCCGAACCTGCTCACCCCCGGCCCGGCCCTGTTCTTCGTCAACGTCCATGGCGTGCCGAGCAATGGCACTTTCGTGATCGTCGGATCGGGCAACATCGAGCAACAGCCGACCGCGGCGCAGGCCGAGCTCCCGGCGAGCGTGCGGCTAGATGGCGTGTCGGGCAGCGGGGACGGCTCGTCGTCGAGCGGCCCTTCAAGCTCGGGCTCGAGCGGCGACAAGGGCTCGACCAGTGGCACCTCGCATACCGGAGCCATCGCAGGCGGCGTAATCGCGGGCGTAGCAGCGCTCGCGATCGCGGCTATTGCGGGCGTGCTGATCGCGAGGAGACGGCGCGCGGCGCGAATGGCCGCCCTCGTCCCGCCCTCGTACGCGAATGGCGCGCCGGAGCCTAAGGCGGGGGTTTACGGCCGCGCGGGTTCCGGGCACGACTCGAGCTCGTTCATCCCGCTCCAGCAGTATGGTGGGGCGAGTCCGAGCCAGGCGGCGTTCCATGAGTCCAAGGACGACGAGACGGCGAGCGGGACGTCGCGGCCTTGGGTTCAGTCGGGGTATGGAACGCCCTCGCCTAGTGCATCTACTGGAACTTTTAGTCCATACAACGACGGTCCTCGTGGCCTGTAAGAGGACTGTTCATATGGAAAGAGCGATGATTTGATGGACGCTGGTCTGTATGGACTACACACACACCTTTTATTTCTGACTGTATGAGCTCCGCTGGCATAGTTATATCTGTTTATGACTGTTCTACTATACCGTAATATAATGCTTGAAATCGATCATGACGATTTTGCACCTCCTCACACTAAACGCGCGACGCGAATGAGCAACGTAGCATGCCTGTTTACCAAATCCGTAGTATATACACGGGGTGGAAGTATCACGACACTAGAGCGATCTCGAGATGCGGGAATGTGCGAAACCACCGACCCTTCATCTCCTCGGGGAGACAACGAGGAGACGAAAATGGGTGCTAAGAAGTCCGGTTTGTCTAGTCACGGTCTGACACTCAAACAACCGCAAGGTATGTCCAGAGGACGAGCAGTCGCGAGCAACATGGGGAAAAGGATGACCGTGACGCCGCACGAAGAGGAAGAGACGCGCAGCGCTCAAATTTATATTGCTCGAAGCATCACGTGAGGAAACGCACGAGAGCATTGACCGTGGGCGCTCATACTTTCTTCGTCCTGTCCTGCTTGGAGGCTGCCGCGAAATCTCCACGATACCATAGACGCCGTCCACTGCTTGAAGGTGCGTCTGGATTATGTGACTTTTTCAAGAATTTCTGGTCATAACGTGTCCTTTAGGCGCACTATGGACTCCCTCATCGCCAAGGCCGATGCTATTCGGCCGGTCACGAAGAAACGCAAGCTCGAGCGATCGAGCAGAGGGAAAGCCGGACCTTCGAGCCGTACAGGCAAAGCCTTTGACAAGACCGCGTCTTCCATCGCCCACAACACTGTGGTGCCCAAGTCACTGCGAGCGACGGATCCTCCGCCCGAAGGCACTCGGACTTACAAGCACATACAAAACAGGAAGCTTAGGACAGAGCTGACTCGCCAATCAACCCACGCGGCGCGGGCGAAGGAACTGCTGAAGGATGCGGAGCTGCTATTGCAGGATGAGGCGGGGGGAATTCAGGTGGAAGACGAGATGGAGAGGACATGGAGGCTGGGTCAGACCGACATCACGTCTGGGGCTGGAGAAGAGAGCGCGAAAGGAAGGAAAGAGTGGAGGCTCGACGCTGGTCCGTATCGGTGTCGGTATACCCGCAATGGGAGGTCAGTGAAATGAAATCTCAATGTTTACCTCACATGAAAGCGATTACAGACACCTCGCGATAGTCGGGAATAAGGGACATGTGTCCACGTTCGACTGGCAAACGGGGACCATGCATTCAGAATTGCATCTCCAGGAAACATGTCGGGATATAACGTGCGTTACTTACATTGCTTCTAGACCAGCTAACTGACCCTCGCATTTGCAGATTTCTGCATGACCACTCTCATTACGCCGTTGCGCAGAAGAAGTATGTCTTCATCTACGACAGGGACGGCGTCGAACTTCACCGCCTGAAATCACACGTTGAGCCTACTCGACTCGAGTTCCTTCCTTACCACTGGTTGCTTGCGAGCGTCGTGCGTTTCGTTTCATCCCTCACAGCCCGCATTCGACTCATCCCAGTTTTGCAGGGCAACACCGGCTACCTCAAGTACCAAGACACTTCCACCGGCCAGCTCTTGGTCGAGCACCGCACCAAGCTCGGCGCGTGCAACGTCATGACCCAAAATACGCACAACGCCGTCATTCACCTCGGACACCAGAATGGTACCGTCACGCTCTGGACGCCGAACCTGCCGCACCCGGCGGTGCGCCTGCTCGCGCATCTCGGCCCGCTCTCGAGCGTCTCCGTCGACCCAAGCACCGGCGGGCGATATATGGCCACCGCGGGCAAAGATGGGACGGTCAAGGTCTGGGACTGTCGGAACTGGAAGGGTGAAGTGCGGAGCTGGACGGCGCGCGGGGGCGAGGCGGACGTGGCGTGGAGCCAGCGGGGCATGCTCGCCGTCACATCCGGCGGGACAGTCAACGTGTGTGCTCTCTCCTGCAACACGGTCAAGTGTAGCTAACGCAGGCGGCTACTCTCCAGGTGTATAACAAGCCGTCGATCCAGACGCCGTTCAAGGGCGTGACACAGCCGCCCCTATACCTTACGCATCCTATACCGCACCGACCCTTAACCTCTACCCGATTTTGCCCGTTTCAGGACATCCTCACCGTCGGCCACGCGGCGGGGCTATCCAGCATTCTCGTCCCCGGCAGCGGCGAGCCTAACTTTGACAGCGCGGAGGCCGATCCGTTCGAGAACAGGCAGGCGAGACGGGAGCGCGAAGTCCGCAGCCTGCTCGACAAGGCAAGTGGCTGATCGCACGTACTTCAACCAGTTTGGACGCTCACTGTGTGGGCGGCAGATCCAACCCGACGCGATCACGCTCGATCCCGAGTTCATCGGCACGCTCGCGCCGCCGACTAAGCTTACCACGGCGGTCAACGGCAAGGTCGACACGCCCTACGCCCGTCTTCCGCGGTTAGAGCGTCTTCGAGTGTCCGGAAAAGCGGACGAGACGGAGGCGGCCGGTTCCTCTGAAGAGGAGGCGGACGAGGGCGACGGGAACAAGGATGAGCACGCGAGGGAATCCAAGGCCACGAAGGAGAAGAAGAAGATGCGGGGTAAGAACAAGAGCCTCAAGCGCTACCTCCGCAAGCACCGGAAGAACGTTATAGATCCTCAAACGGTTGGTGCTCGCCACGCAATGGTGTATTGGCCTGGTTTTGACTGATAATCGTCTTGCTCAGGTCGCGGTACGGGCCAAGTTGGAGAGGGAGAAGGAGGAGAGGAGGCAGGCGCGTGCTATCGCGAGCGGCCAGGAGCAACCCAAAAAGCCGTCTGCTCTCGACCGATTCAAAAAGAACAAAACATAATACGATGGAAGCGTATATACGTCGATGTTTCCTATCCACTGAATACAGACCTCATCGTGGATCGATCGCATACGATATTGACCTCTGAACGCTCGATCTGTTACCTGAGTCCAAGCGATATTGGACGGGAACCCGATGACCAAGGGAATGGCAGGCTCAAGCGAGCGGAACGTTAAAGGTGGATTATCTACTTCACTACCGGGTTCACGCCTCGAGCTGCGAGGTAGTCCTTTGCAGCGCTTGTGCTCTATCGCAGGGTTAATTTGGAATACAGTGCTTCAGGGAGCGGACGGTCAGCACTCACAAGTCCCTTGATAATTTCATATATGCTCTTGTCATGATAGCGCAATCCTGTGGTGGGGTCCGTATACGGAGCCTGGTCGAGAGGTCAGTCAGTGGCGGCGGTGATAGTCGCATTCGACATACCTCCAAGCCGGTTATGTCACAGTAGCGCCGTTGAGGGAGCAAAGAAGGAGGTGCCTCGATGGAAGCATCTGCGACATGCGTTCCAGTCGTTAGTTGTGCGTTTGCTGAATCTGAGAGAGGGCCATACGCACACGTCGGAATGTCCTCTGGCTCATCATCTTCCTTCGACGACGGAGCGCCCTCGTGGTCGACGTCCATCGCCTGCTCCTTCTCTGCCCGCCGGCGCTCTCTCTCAACGCGCTCGCGCTCCTTCTCCTGGGTCAGCACGGTCTTCAGGTTCTTCGTCCTTCGGTTCGAGTTCTTGGTATACTCCGGGTTCTTGAACGGCCGCGGGAAGTGCAAGAAGGACACCTGCTCTGATGGTGTCTTCAAGGTGTCCGAGAGTGGGCCACGACCGCAAGAGAATGCATATGTTGAGAATGTAGAGCAGGGATCATGCAGCGCTATGACACACGGGTACTGTAACATCCCCGGTAATCTTCCTCTTCAGATTCTTGGGAGGCCTAAGAGTCCTTGAATATCCATAGTCACCAAGTGGAGATTAACACTAACATGAGGGATGGCAAAGACTTGGAGGTGGGTCAAGGCCGCTCCCGCTGGTACAGTAGGGACCAAACGCCACCGACGCCGGCACTGGGTTCATGCCCCCAAGTCGCATCCCTATTACTTTTGAACCACTCGCCGAACTTCCGGCGATATACGATCCGTGGTCGGACGACCTTGAACTATCCCCGCCGAAACTCTGCTTTGGTTGGCCCGTAGCCGATACAAAGACGTTGGAGATCGCTCGCGGACTGGACCTTCTGTGTTACTGGGACGACAACGGCATAGGCTCATCGTGGAAATCGCAGGCAGACGTTCGCCACTGCGACGTTGTTGAAGACGATTGTACCTTGACCGTGGTCCACGAATCCCTCTAGGACGTACGGTACGTCGAATCGAGTCGATTCATTCCAGCTTGGGTCTTTGCATAACAACTTTACTCCGGGGCACGGACAATCCACCGACAAGTCAGTCACCGAGCCGCAAGAAGAGCTAGGTTTTGGAGAGCCACCATTGTGGTATGTCATTTTTAGTGTATGAATCTGTGTGTTTCCATTTCGGATGCGCAGTCACATCGTCCCTCTATCTGCTTCTCATTCAAAGTCACTCTTCTTTTGCTCACTGTTCTTGGATGTTCACGTATTCTCAGACCCGAAGGCTGACTGTAATAGAATTACCGCTCTGTTCTTTGCTAATCTCGTTTTGTGTACGTTTTGTACGTATACAAAACGTAATGAAATATACAGCACCAGCGCCACATGCACGTCTGTAACTTTCTCCCGTATTGACGCGGCCCGCAAACTCGAGCAAGCAGAGCATTCGAAGGACTGAAAACCTTTCAACTTCACCCATTAATCTATTCGAAATGTCGCCAACATCGACTACCACAGCCGCCGAGGCTAAAGTTATCCACCCCGATAATGTGCAGTACCCCTGGTATCAACTCCTGGTTCGAACATGGTCTGGGACGCTATACCTATATACCGATGAGGTGGGCGTCAAGCTAAATGCGCTGCTTCTCGAGCGTAGCCATAATCTCTGTTCCTCTGCAGGAAATCGCCAAGATCAGCGAAAGCTTCACGCCTCTCGACGAATTACCGCCAGTATTCGACCCCTGGTCGGAACTGGTCAAGCTCACTCCGCCCACGTTCTACTACGGTTGGCCAGTGGACACAAAGCTGATGCTTGAATATGCTCGACGCATGGGACTGGTTTACCCCCAATCAGGAACTCCATCCAGTCCAACCGAGGTTGCCCAAGCCGAATCTTGGACGCTCGTCAATGTGGAAGAGTATCTCGAGGACGTTGTATCCCTCGAGCAGACATATGGCAGCCAGAACGCGCAAGAACGGTCACTGCTGATCTGGTCACTGTATACCAATTGGACGCCTCTTGACGAGCGTATGGACGAAGAGGAAATAGCCGAGTGGCAGGCAGATTTGGGGTACAAGGAGGGGCCGAAGTGGTATCTGACTTGCAGTGCATAAAGTGCCTCATGTTCCAGACGTTGTCGCGCAACGATCAGAGAAATATTGAGTAACCGTGGTTGATTGAATGATAGATGCACCTCTTTCACTTTCTGTGCGTCACCCAATTCTCCGAAACGATGGCTACGGCGGTCATGAACAGGCCCGCTGAATCCCATAATCGAGCGCGCGTGATTGTCGCCCCGGAACGGGCGCGTGAAGTCACCCTCCCAGTATCCCATCTCGTTCCAGCGCGTGCCCCACGCGCGTGTCAGGCTCACGAACGGGGCATCATACGTCTGTGCGGCCTCGGCCGCCTCCTGGGCGAGAGTAGGAGTGTCGTTGAGGCAGCCGACGCGTACGCCGAGGTTGATCAGCGATGAGCGCCGGGGTGCACGGCCGCGAAGGAGACGGGGTGCTGCGCGACGCCGCCGCCGCCGACGAGAAGGTCGCGGCCGCCGAGCGGGAGAGAGGCGCAGAAGGAGGAGGTTGATCGCGGACTGGTCCGGCTGGTGTGCGGGTTCATCGGTGAAGAGGGAGGTGGAGAGCAAGCGCGAGACGGTGCGACCATTCACGGCGACGACCTGAAAGAGGGCAAGTATTAAAGAGTCGGTTTACGGAGTCGGTGTGGGCAAAAGGGACTCACGTCGCCCGCAGTGTAGTTGTATCCTATGGCGTCCGGAGAACCATTCTTGAAGTTTTGCACATTTCAGTCGCGGAAACGGGGGTAACGTAAGTTTGGGTTCGTCTTGACACTCACGCCTGGAATCTGTGCGATGTCTTTGATGAGCGGCGTGATGGACTTGTCGGCCTGGTCAACGTTAGTGATATTCAGGCTGATGTAGGTTCGCGCGAAGCTGAATACCGTCAGCCCGTCAGATCCCGTAAGTCACACCGGATAGAAGCCAGTCCAGCAGACGTGCGAGCGGTCCTTGAGCGTTGTGGAAGACTTCGAACCCCTGTACGAAGGCGTCCAACGTGATCGTGTACGCCTCGAAGTAGCTGGCGTTGATCGCTTGCTCGGGGTGCAGTTTGTACTTCGTACTGGTCACCATTCCAAAACTGGGACAGCCTCCACCACGGAGCGCCCAGAAGAGATCCTGGTGCACGTACGGGCTGTCGTGGATGAGCGTGCCGTCCGCGGTGACCAGCTCGAAACTACGTGTCGACACCGAGGCCATAGCAGTGTGAGAGAGCGGTGTGGCCCGCGCCTTGCCACAACCGCCTGTGATGGTTGAAAAACGTGAGCTAACCACCACCGTCAGGACTCTCATGTCGTCTACATTGACCACGCCACCTTATATTACCTGGCCAACCGCAGTGCCCAAGGGCATGCTGGTTCTCAAACCCGATACAAACGAATATCCCTGGTACCCATATCTTACGCAACCGTGGGAGGACAAACCGCTCCGCGAGTGGGAAGTCAGCATGCTATTCCCGTCTATACCGCTCATGCTCTGATCGTGATGCTTGACTGCTAGGAGGAACGCGAGATTCGCAAGGCTTTCAAGCCCTTTCGCGAATTGCCTGTGGTGTTTGATCCTTGGGTCGAACCTATGAAGTATGACCCGCCGACATTTTACTACGGCTGGCCTGTGGACCCAAGAATCACGAATGCCTTCGCCATCAAGGAGAACTTAGCCTGGTATTGGAAGGAAGATGGGATGGGATGTGAATACAAGGATCAGGATCTGGTCACTCCTAACGATCACATCAACGACACATGGACACGGTTGCAGGTGCAAGAATTTTTCCAGGGCGTGTTGACGTTTGAATATGTGTACGACTCATCAACGCCTCGGAGTCGGCCCACTTTCTTTTGGTCCCTCTACTCGAATTATACGCATCCTCATCAGCGTCCGTCGAAGAAGCAGATTGCGAAGCTGCAGGTCGACTTTGGACATCGGGATATCCCTCAATGGTATTTGGACGCTGATACATAGTCAATGAAATATCATACGGTCCTGTGCCTACCCTGTTCATGCTTCGAGCGCCTGTAAATTACGCAATCGCTCGCAAACGCGCCCAAACCCTACGTCGCAGCAGCTGCTGATCGTCTATGTCTAACACTATCATGAACCATCCACCTGAAGAGGCTCAGTCCGAATCCATCCTTCCCGAGCCCGATTTTGCGAAATACCCGTGGTGTAGATACTTGCTCACACCATATACAAACAAAGAGACTCGCCCTCCTGAGGTTCGTGTCACAAAATGCCTCGGCTCACGCACATCTGAAGTACCCCTGAAAACTAGGAGGTGTCTCTGCTCGCTGAATCTTTCGAGCCACTCTCCGAACTTCCAGCGATATTTGACCCATTGCTGGAGGAAGGTCGCCGGTATTCCCCGCCGACGTTCTTCTTTGGATGGCCCGTCGATGACGCGAAGACGCTGGAGATCGCTCTCGAACTTGACCTTGTGTGGTACTGGGATGAGGACGGCATGGGCTCTACATGGAAATCTCAGGCAGACGTTCGCGACGGCGACGTCGTCGATGACGACTGTACCCTCACCGAGGTTCAATATAGATCGCAAAAGCGGGGACATGCTAGCGACGCCTGGCGTATGTTTGAAACTGCGAGGTCGGATTCACAACAGAGATAACAGCACGGAGAAGTCGGGGCATACAAAGGACAAGGATACATTGTGAGAGTGCTGTCGGCTCGTCAACGTAAGGATGCTAAGCATCAGCCAAGTGTTTCTGCTCGATCATCCAGCGAACGGAGCACCGCTACGTTACGCATAAGTGGTCATATACCACTTCGGCCTCTCCTTGTACCCTAGCTCTTCTTGCAGCTTAGCAATATCCTCCTCCTTGGGGCGCTGATCAGGGGGTGTCCAGTTTGAACAAAGGGTCCACACGGCGCCAAATCGACCCTCAACATCTGGAACGCCATACGCCTCCTCAATCTTAGCCCTTGGCCTAAGGAGAACCTGCATCTCTATTAGGGTCCTATTGATGTGCAGGACGTCGTCGGGAGTAACCTCGTGCGCCTGCTTGAGACCACCCCGAATTTTGACGCCCTCGTTCGTCATCCTGTTCAGAAAAAAAGCTATGTTGTTCTTGAATGCATAAGCACGGACGAGGTCCATATCCAGGGGCCAGCCGAGGAAGAACTCCGGCGGGGCACACTTCAAGGGTTTCGACCACGCATCGAACTCTGCGGGTAGTTCGCTGAATGCGTTGAAGGTGTCCTCGACCACCTTCTCTTCCTGTGAAGCACGATCAGTCATACAGCCGTACTTTCCAAGCTTCCACGGGGACTCACCTCGTCAGTGCGGTCTGTTCGTTTCGACCATCGGTGAAGGACGAAGTTGAACCAAGGGTACTTGTCAAGGTCGGGTTTGAGGACAGGCTCATCGGTTGGTGGACTATCAGGGTAGACGACTCTGGGCTTGATATCCGGAATAGCGGATACCGACATATTGCGATCATGTTCTGGTCGATATAGGTGCAACTGACGGGATGACTTTATGGCTCATCAACCACAGGGCACGTGCTGTATTCCATGTTTTCACGATGCCCTGTGCAGGTTGCGCCCGGGGATTGTGTGCTGTTCTTTCATGACGCGAACACGAGATACGCCAGATCAGTCAGGTGCATTCTATGAACAACGCGATTATGCGCGGAAGTGATGAGTTACCCGTTGTGATTCCTTTAGTTGCAATGGGATCGAACCTATTTGACTGAATGCTACGTCGGCAATCGTGACTTACAGTCCTACAAGCACCACATCCTAACGACTATTGTCCAGAGGTTGCCACCATGCAAGTGCCACATACTGACCACTATTGTTCAGTCCAGAGATTGCCAGCATTTGCGTAGAGCACACCCGAAATATATCTTACGACCGGAAAAAGAGGTCACTGTCCTTGGTAAGTCACAATAATGATTCAACGACCACAAACGGGGAGCCTTTTTTGGGTTTGTCGGTCTCATCAGCCGGAGCAAAAACACCCTTCAGATTAGGGACGAACGCGGGATACCGGACTTCGGGCTGGAGCTTCACCGCCCCGGGCGGCGACAGCCCGAGTTCGTGCTGCTTGCGGAGCTCAAGAGGCCATCTGTCGCTTTCAGGAGACGGCCTGACGAATTTCTCGGGGAGAGCCAAACAGAGTGCGATCGCCATCATGCAAAGGACCATGGATCAGCTAGAAGAACAAGTTCGCTTTGCTATGGATCATTACGGGTGCAATGAGGTTGGGATCCTCTGCATCGTCGGAGTGTGGTGCATCTTCCGCGAATATGACAAAGCGGCTCCGTCTTCTTCGCGTTCCGTGGGTAGACGCGTTGTTCGGTCGGTGGCCGGGGATAACGGCCAGCCAGTAACCGTGCTCGACCCCTCGAAGAAGGTGGCGATAACATTTTGCATCTTGGATGCTACGAGGACAGAGAACCGATATCGGCATAATCAAGTTGTCGTCTGCCGGTTGTACAACGTTCACAGGCTCCTTCGAAGCATCGCTGTCCTCGCCTTCCGGAAACATACCCGGGTGACCATGTGACCGCCGAGAGGCCCACAAGGAGGAGGTGATCGCGGACTGGTTCGGCTGGTGTGCGGGTTCATCAATGAAGAGGGAGATGGGACGCGTGAAGTCACCCTCCCAGTATCCCATCTCGTTCCAGTGCGTGCCCCACGCGCGTGTCAGGCTCACGAACCGGTCATCATACGTTTGTGCGGTCTCGGCCGCCTCCCGGGCGTGAGGAGGAGCGCCATTGAGGCAGCCGACGCGTACGCCGAGGTTGATCAGCGATGAGCGCCGGGGTGCACGGCCGCCGAGGAGACAGGATGCTGCGCGACGCCGCCGCCGCCGACGAGAAGGTCGCGGCCGCCGAGCGGGGGAGAGGCGCACAAGGAGGAGGTTGATCGCGGACTGGTTCGGCTGGTGTACGGGTTCATCGGTGAAGAGGGAGGTGGGGAGCAAGCGCGGGACGGTGTGACCGTTCACGGCGACGACCTGAAAGAGGGCGAGTATGAGAGAGTCGGTTTACGGAGTCGGTGTGGGCAAAAGGGACTCACGTCGCCCGCAGTGTAGTTGTATCCTATGGCGTCCGGAGAACCATTCTTGAGATTTGCACATATCAGTCGTGGAAACGGGGGTAATCTAAGTTTGGGTTCGTCTTAACACTCACGCCTGGAATTTGTGCGACGTTGTTGATGAGCGGCGTGATGGACTTGTCGGCCTGGTCAACGTTGGTGGTATTCAGGTTGATGTATGTCCACGCGAAGCTAGTTCGGTGGCCACTGTACGCGCGAATACCGTCAGCTCAAAAACACCCCGTCAGATTCCGTAAGTCACACCGGATAGAAGCCAGTCCAGCAGACGTGCGAGCGGTCCTTGAGCGTTGTGGAAGACTTCGAACCCCTGTACGAAGGCGTCCAACGTGATCGTGTACGCCTCGAAGTAGCTGGCGTTGATCGCTTGCTCGGGGTGCAGTTTGTACTTCGTACTGGTCACCATTCCAAAACTGGGACAGCCTCCACCACGGAGCGCCCAGAAGAGATCCTGGTGCACGTACGGGCTGTCGTGGATGAGCGTGCCGTCCGCGGTGACCAGCTCGAAACTACGTGTCGACATAGTAGTGTGAGAGAGCGGAGTGGCCCGCGCCTTGCCACAACCGCCTGTGATGTTTGAGAAAAAAAACGTGAGCTAACCACCAGCGTCAGGACTCTCATGTCGTCTACATCGACCACGCCACCTTATATCACCCAGCCAGGCGCAGTGCGCAATGGCATGAAGGTCCTTCAACCCGATCCGACCGAGTATCCATGGTACCCATATCTTACGCATTCGTGGGAGGACAAACCGCTCCGCGATTACGAGGTCAGTGTGCTACCCCATCTATACCGCTCGAATTGTGATTGTGATATGCTTGCCTGCTAGGAGGAATGCGCGATTCGAAAGGCTTTCAAACCCTTCCACGAATTGCCGGTGGTGTTTAATCCTTGGGTCGAACCTATGAAATATGAACCACCGACATTCTACTTCGGCTGGCCTGTGGACCCAAAGATCACGAATGCCTTCGCCATCAAGGAGAATCTAGCCTGGTATTGGAAGGAAGACGGCATGGGTTCCACATGGAAGGATCAGGATCTGGTCACTCCTAACGATCACATCCACGACAAATGGACACAGGTGCAGGTGCAAGAATTTTTCGAGGGCGTCTTGACGCTCGAATATGTGTACGACTCATCAACACCTGGGAGCCGCCCAACCTTCTTCTGGTCCCTCCACTCGAACTATACGCATCCTCGCATGCGTCCGTCGAAGAGGCAGATTGCTAAGCTGCTGGAGGACTTTGGACATCGAAATACCCCTCAATGGCATTTGGACGCTGATACGTAGTCGATGAAATATTATACGGTCCTATGCCTATGAGCCATTGAGCGGTGATATTCGCTAATGAATAATTGTACCCTGTACCATCCGAGAGTGAATGAACGTGTAGCGGCTACCCTGTTCGTGCTTTGAGCGCCTGCAAATTACGCAATCGCTCGCGAACACGTCCAAACCCCTATGTTGCAGCAACTGTTGCCTGTCTATGTCTACGGTCGGCCGATTGGTCGCGGTTGAAATCCGCGAGTCAGCCGCCGAGGCTTGTAGCACACCCAAACTCCTGACCTATGTACACCCTACTGGCAGGGTTCATGATAAGGTGAGTAAACCAACATGGCCCCGCCACACTAAACAATAACTCACACATACTCTGCACTTGTTGTTAACAAAATCAGATAGTTGTATGGGCATAAGTAACGTAGAAAATCAATGACAATGAGGCACGTGATGTATATTAGTTTACGAGAGTGACCGAAATGTGATCAAGTCAGATCAGTAAGAAAAAGCGGAGTGACCGAATCTGACCGAGTAACATTGGGTCAGATTTGTCCTCGCGCATGGTCTCGCGGCTAAGTCCAAGAAGTTGCATTCTGGCAATTGCCAGCTGTCAGGCTCTAGGCTCATTACTCTTTAGTCTCTGACATGAAGTTCAACGGAGCGTCGTAAACAGAACGCAACATGTCGCCTTCCGCCACCTCGAATGCCAAACCCAGGGTTGTCTATCGCAGTAGTTTGCCTACCGCCGAGATTATCCTCAAACCTGATACCAAGAAGTACCCGTGGTACGAGTTCGCGATTCACCCGTGTTCGAAACGAGTGACCCGCAATCCAGAGGTAAGCATGGTGACTCGACATGCGAGTTTGGCTGCAGACCTCATAGTGCTATCTAGGAAGAGAAGGTGGTTGAGGATACCTTCAAGGCATTCAGCGAGTTACCGCCGGAGTTCGATGCATGGTCGGAACCCTTGAAATATGCCCCACCGGAGTTCTTCCTCGGCTGGCCCTTGGATATGGACCTCGTCCGCGCTTATGCCTTCAAGCATAATATGGCGTATTTCCTGAACAGATACACCAAGGAGGGCGTAAAGATCACAGGTGGCCGCAAGCAGGCACACGAGGTTACACCAGACGATGCCCTCCACACCAATCGCACTATCAGGTTAATGCAGGATCGTCTCATGCCGAGGGCTAAGCTTGAGGAAGCGTATGACGTGCCGGATGACGAGGTGCGGTTTGGTGCGATATGGTCTCTTTGCTCGAACTGGACACCACCTGAACAACGTCCGACGGAGGAGGATATCGCCAGATTGCAGGAGGAGTTGGGGTACGAGGAGAAGCCGAAGTGGCGTATGACTACTTTTGCGTAATGTATCCGTGCTTCGCTTATACGCCGATGGGCAGCGAGACACTCTGGGCGTACTATTTCCTAACTTGAAGGACCTACCACCGTATTCTGTGGTCTTGTAGTGGTGCAGACTCATAGTTCCGACGGTATGCTCGAATTAAATACCATGTCTGTTGACTGCACATAGGATCAAATCGCGGCTTTGGAATGGGTCGAGCTTCCGTCGCTCGTCTTACACCTACAATGATTGTTCGCGAAGCCACGCGTGCAACGAGTGCTAAAGATGCAAGTGTATAGTCCAGATCGAATATAAGGGTTGTGTGTAGCAAGCAGCGCAGCTGTTCGTGCCAAGACCAACGCATGCGCCGTCTCGTCAGTTTCTTGTTTGATTCCTGAAAGGCAGCCTTCTCATCGTAGTTTCAGTATAGTAGCACTATCCACGAGAGGCGCCAGCTTAAAGTGATACATGACCACGTCTGCGTAGCGCACGTGTGACATTTTACACCGATATGGTGTGAAGATCCGAGGTGGCCGAAAGGAGGATGTTACGCCAGACAACTAAGTTACACTGGATCGTGTGGTTCGACGCGCCAAAGGGTTATGGGATATCTGGTGTTCGCAAGCACGAGCACGAGGTTGTCCCGACGTGCCCCTGCACATGGACCACGCGCTCCCCGAGGTGCACTATCACCTTGAACCCAGACCAATATCAAGGAGGCGTACGGCGTGCAAGGCGAAGAGGATCGATTTGGCGAGATATGGTCAATATGTTCGAGCTGGAAGCCGCCGTCGGAGTAGGTAGTTGATCAATTGCAGGAAGAGCTAGGATACGAGTACAGGCCGAAGTACACCGGGAGTCGTCGCCTTGTGCTCCAGATGACTCGCCGGTCTCTTCAATGCGCAACGTTCATGCACAGCGTCAACATTCATCATCCCATCGCGGTCGAAGTTCGGCGGTATGATCGAACCAGACACCCAGCACGAGCCCCATCAGAAGACGGAAATCACCGAATTGCAGAAAGAACTGGGGGATGTGTGGAGAGGCGGAAGTAACCGGCATCGTTGTGACTGCGCTCTTTTGGTTGTCGAGCATCATGCATGCATGTCGCGGTAAATAACATTAAACCAATCGGACGGTGTCGTTGGTATATTATACGTCTGCTATGGTACACGTCTAGGTTGACGAACGTCCGTGATCAGTGAAGCGAGTTATCGTGAGCCAGGTGTAAGAGAAGTGCGCCAGTTAACCTAGAGCTTCGGGGTCTGAGCTCGCTCCGGCGCGTATTTCGCCTGTGAAAAGTGAAGAAAAATCGGTCAGCGAACGCTCTTCACGTATACGCCAAAACGAAATGCACACCATCTCATTCTCCTTCTTCTGGAACCCGCACTTCTCGTAGAACGGCACGTTCTTATCGCTGCAATTGAGTATCGTCTTGTAGCAGCCCGAAATCTCGCTGATGTACGTCAGCGCCTGAATGACGCGAAGGCCGAGCTTCTTCCCCTGCTGGTTCGCGTCGACCGCGATGTCCTCGATGTGCCCCACGGAGCCATTGTTGTGCACGAACTTGCGCTCGATGAAGAGCGTGCCGACGGCGACAACGCGGTCGGATGACTTGGAGACGATGACGAGCGGGTAGTACGTCCGTGGAGCCTGCTTCATCGCGTTGAACTGGGCGACCCAGGCGGCTTCGCCGGGGTCTGGGGTAGTCGTGAGGACGGAGAGGATAGATAGGTAACCACGATGGTAGTCCGTCGACGCTAGTGGGCGGATCTGGCAGAGGTTTACGCGTTAGGTGGCCAGGTGCAAAGAAGGGATGCGTTTGAAGACGTACGTGCAAGTCGCTGGGCAGCTGGTTCTTGACGTCGGGCGAGATGAAATCGGGGCTGAACGCCAGGGCAAGCTCGTTGTCGGACGTGAAAGGCATATCAAGTATCGTCTAGAGAGTGAACGAGAGGAACGAAAGGAAGCCGAGAGGCGGAAGGTGAGAGAGGACGGAGTGTGACGTTGAACCGTTGGCGCGGGGTTTTAGACATGTCGTGGAGGAACCGGTGTTGGGGACGAACGTGGCTGTTCCTCTTCTCTGGATACCCTCTTGTCGCCGCTGGCGATGCGCCCGGACAGCCTTGCGCAGGGCAAATACGCCTCCTCGGAGACTATTCCAGCCGAGTACAGGATCGAGCTATACGACATAACAATCCCGACACAGGAGAAGACCGGAGGTCGTCTCGAGGACCACCCGGATGAGTACTGCATACAAATTCGACCTAAACGACCTTTAGGCGATGCTGGATCTCTAGGATTTCAACCTGTGTAAGCTTTTGCGAGCGAACGTTCGAGTGCCTCTACTAGACTGGACCCACGGCTGCAGCCTCTATCGGACCCAGAAGTATCTTGCAGGATGCCGCGCTCATCTCACCCAATCCCGTCTTCGTATGTCCCTAAAGTCTTGCTTCCACTCGATCTCACGGAGACGATTCATACGGCTGACGGTACTCGAAGATCGACCAGATTGCTCCACACTGGAGCTTTTCAGGATGCATATGAGACTGCATCTCGCCAAAACTACGGAGATATCCAGATTGCTGGGATAAGCTCGCCTTATCCTGATTCCTCTAGGAACTTTCCTCCTCCGTCCGTTGTCTTGAGTCTGGCATGGCCTGTTCCTATTGCGATCGAAATATACAAGATTCCCTCTACGAGCCAGTTTCCTTACTCCTGGATCGAGCCGATTTCGACCATTAAATCTCCGCTCGCTGTTTTTTGCGACTGAAGAATCTCGTCACACTCCTCGCGCAATGTCCTGTGATCCTTTAGTTGATCATCTCAAGGATGATCACTTTTGCACCGTCCGAGAGGCTAGGATATTCCCCTCTAGAGCTTCGGGGTATGTGTTCGCTCCGGGGCATACTTGACCTGAATGAAGGCTTTGTTCGATTCAGAATCATTGCAGAAGCTCAGGGACACGTACCATCTCGTTCCCCTTCTTCACCATCCCGCAGTTCTCGTAAAACCGCACGTTTTTATCGCTGCAGTTCAAGATCGTCTTGTAGCAGCCCAGGGATTCGCTGACGTAGGTCAGCGCCTGGAAGACGCGCGGGCCGAGCTTCTTCCCTTGATAGTCCTCGGCGACGACGCCTTCCTCGAGGTGCCCGACCGAGGCAGTGTTGTGTGCGAACTTGCGTTCGATGAAGAGCGTGCCGTTGGCGATGATCCGGTCTGAGGCCTTGGAGACGACCACGATGGGGAAGTAGGTCCGGGGAGTCTCGCGCATCGCGTTGAATTGGGCGACGAAGGCGGCTTCGCCCGGGTCTGGGGTGGTGGTGAGCACGGAGAGGAGGGTGAGGTAGCCGCGGTGGTAGTCCGTCGAGGCTAGTGGGCGGATCTGTGCGGCGTGGTATGGGCTGATCGCACCATGTTTGTGGTGATGCAGGGAAGACGTACGTGCAGGTCAGGAGGCATCTTGCTCTTCACGTCGGGCGAGATCAGCGATGGATCGAACGCGAGGTCAAGCTCTTCGTCAGGTGTAAACGGCATTCCGCGGATCTCAGTAATAACCAGATGGGAAGAAGAGGGGACACCAGGGACGCTCCAAGGGCTCGGAGGTCTCATATGGTTCGGGTTTTTAGACATTGTCACAACACGGTGAACGAGGCCCGGCAAAAATCAATGTTGTTGATGCCTGGGAAATCTTTTCATCCGAGCAGCATCCTGCGGCGTCGTAACAATTGTCGTTTGCGAGTCATGAACTGCGATCTACACGTTCACGACGAACTTCATGGACCGGTTCGAGCTCTGGTCCGATCGGCATGGCGACATCATCCTTCGGCCTTCTTTGGCTTGTTGAAGAAGGACTCGACCACAAGTAAAGCCGTAGGCGAGTGATCCAAGCTTAAGAATGAATCGGAACTCACCCTTAATTTGAATTTCGGTCGATACGTGGGACCTTATCAGTTTACCACAGACGACGAGGCATGCAAAGCTGACGTTCGGGTTACTCTTTCACTTTTGAGATACTCGGTCAAGGGAGACCAGAGAGGGGAGTAGAATCTTCCCTCGAGAGTATGTAGTCTTGTTCGGGCATGAAGTAAAATTTCTGCCTCTCGTAGCGTGGACTTGACATGTAGATTGCGTGAGGATGATGCGAAAGGCATGATGGTGTCAACAAAATAGACATTTGCTAGATGCGATGCGCCCGGTTCTGACATGTATACGTTTTGTTCGCCATCTTCAATCGATGCGAACTTCTTCTCCACTCGTTGCTACGTACACCCATACCCGTACCGTAGATCATAAGCATCACTTAACATGGATATCAGCTATGTCAATTGTCGTTCAATTGTCATAACTTATGATACTTTGCACTATTGTGACGGCGTTGAGGTCTTTGGCCGAGAATACTTCATACATGCTGTGTGATGATTCCGAGTCCGAGAGTGGATTTGATCCCGCCCAGATTTTGCTCGATTGGAAAGATAGAAAGCGCACTTATTTTGCTTTGCAAGTGCCTTGTACTCTCGGCCCTGGCAGCCATGTGGCCCAACTCCGACCGTGACTGTCGCGACGCGGCCAGGCACGTGTCGCAACCGGGGACCGTACCCCTTCCTCCTGACCGCCTCCGCTTCAACCTCTGGTGTTCGTTACGACCCGACGCTCTCGCAAATCGATCTCAAGGCCGTCCAGCCACCGTCTTTCATTTACGCCGTCGATTTCTGCTCGCTTCTTTACACGCTTTTCTCTTGAATATTCTTTGCGCTGTACAAAGTTTATGTGAACCCGGCCATGACAGCGACGATAGGAAGTGCCGCTGTGAACCATCGCGCGCAGCTTGCGAGCGCATACAACGAGCTCGGCAAGGAGCTGTCGTCGCAGAAGATACGTGTCGTAGGCAACTACACCCTGGGCAAAGTCATCGGCGAAGGTGCGCGCATACAGTCGGCGAGAAATCGTACGGGATGCGAATGTTCATTGTGGATTGCAGGCGCGTATGGGAAAGTGCGTCTGGGGACGCACCGGATGACCTCTACCAAGGTCGCTATCAAGCAGATCCCGAAGGCTATGTCCGCCGCGCTCACCCGCGAGATTCACCACCATCGCCAGTTGCACCACCCGCACGTCGTTCAGCTGTACGAGGTCATCGCGACCGAGTCGTCTATTTGGCTGGTTTCAGAGCTCTGCTCAGGCGGCGAGCTTTTCGATTACCTCGTTGAGAAGGGTCGTCTGGCCGAGGAGGAAGCCAAGGTCGTGTTCGGTCAGCTGTGTCTCGCCGTCGGGTACATACATGACAAGGGTATCGTGCACCGCGACCTGAAACTGGAGAATGTGCTCCTGGATGAGAGGTGTAGGGTGAAGCTGAGCGATTTTGGCTTCACGAGGGAGTATGAGCGGGGGGCGCTGTTGGAAACGTTCTGTGGGACGACCGGCTATGCGGCGCCAGAGATGTTGTCGGAACAAAAGTATCTTGGCCCTGGTATGCTTTCTACGTAGCACTGGTGCTGAGGGATGCTGATACATCAAGCACAGAGGTCGACATCTGGTCTCTTGGCGTCATACTCTACACTCTTCTCACGGGGTCACTCCCTTTCGACGATGACGACGAGGCGGTTATGCGCGCGAAAATCATCAAGGGTGACTTCGAAGATCCTGAATGGCTCTCAGACGGTGAGCGCATATATGCATGCTGCTTCCTGGCTACAACTCAGGTGTTACTATTTCAGAGGCGCGCGATCTCATCAAAAATGTTCTCCAGATGGAGCCCTCCAAACGACTCAGCATATCCCAAATACTTGCCCACCCCTGGTTCAATCTCATTCCTCAGCCCGTTGCTACCGACTCTCTATTGACTGTTCCCGGGACTCCCCCATCCTCTCATCCTCCGCTCCTTCCTCTCGACGTTAACCTCACCACGCCACGCGCTCCCGCTCTGGAGCAGGAAGACTCGGGCAACACCTCCGTCTCCTCTGCCGCCTCCGATTCATCCTTCCTCTCCGCCTCGTCGGAGTTCATGCCCTCCACACCAACCACCCCGGAAGGCTCCCTCGATCACTCACACGCAAACGTTAAACCCAGCGAGCAGGAGCAGGACGAGATCCACCCCACGCTTCACCGCAACGCCTCCGAGAGCACGATCAAGAACATCGCCGCCATCCACGCCGTCCTCGGGCCGTCCGCCGCAGCGCCCGCGTTCGAATCCGTGCCCGAAGCCGACGAACCGACCACCTCGCCGCTCTCCACCTCACCCCCGGCGGCGCCCATCTTACGTACCTCGTCCACCCAATCCGGCTCTAAAGCCCCTCCCGCGCACCCGACCCGCACGCCCGCGCGCACCAAACGCCGCTCCGTCTCGTCCGCGCTCTCTGAGACGTTCTCGATCCCTGACACGCCGCTCGCGCAGCAGGACCCGTCCGCGCCGCCGCAGAACTTCGCGGCGCTTCTGATGACGCCGGCTCCGGTCATCTTCTCTACCGGGCTCGAGCGCGAGCTGCTCGAGACCTTGAGTGCGCTCGGGTTCGATACGGCGCAGATCGTACACAGCGTGCTCACGGACGCGTGCGATTGCGCGAGCGCGGTGTGGTGGATGTTGAAGAAGAAGGCGGAGAGGAGGGCGGTGGAGAGGGGTGAAGGGGCGAGGTTGGTGGAGACTGGCGGGATGACGCCTGCGGTGATGACGGTACCGTTGATGGGCGAGCCTGAGGTGGAGGAGAAGCGTGCGGAGAAGGTGATAGAGGTGGAGAAGGAGAAGGAGAGGAAGGAGAGGAAGGCGCCGCCGAGTAATGTCAAGACCACCCATACGCACAAGGATAGCGTGGGCACGTTTGGGCCCACGAACCCAGTCCTCGCGAGGTCGGCTCCGAATCTACACTTCGTGCCCCCGACGCCGACGGCGGAGGCGCATTCGAAGGCTGCACCCGGGCCGGTCACGCCACCACGATCGGAGTCCCCCACTAGGCCGCTGCTCACCCCCTCTGCGTCGATCATCTCCACTCAGTCCACTCCCGGCAACAAGGATAGCAAGGAGGAGAAGCAAGGGAGCAAAGGTCGGCGTGGCAACAGGAGCGGGAGCGTGAGCATCATGCAGCGCGCCACTACCGCGCTCGAGGCGGCGGGCCTCGTCCGGAAGAAGAGCAGCGAAGCGGTGAAGGAACAGAAGGAGCGCGAGAAGGAGGAGAAGGAGCGCCAGCGAGCGCTAAGCCCGGACGAGGCCGGGCGGAGCTCGCACGGCAGCGGCTCGAAGCTGACCAAATCGCCGCCGCTGAAGGCTATCAAAGACGCGCTCCTGCCGAGTACGCCGTCCGTCGACTCGGAGGAGGCGCGTCCGCAACACCCGAGCGCGACGGGCTCGCCATGGGTGATCGCGGGCAAGACCGGCGGCGGCGCGGACGACTCACGCGTGAGCACGCCCAGCGGGAGCCCGGGCGATACGCTCCGCAGCCTACCGAACGTGGGCGAGAAGACGATGGCGCCGAACCGGAACCGGGCGAGCCTGCTGGCGGCGTTCCGGATGTGGTTCGATGCGGACCGGAAGGGGAAGCGGAAGAGCGCGAACGTGGTGACCAAGGCCGCGGCGCCACAGCGCGACGCGTACGGACGGAGTGTGAGCAGCCCGAGTACGATGGGCGGTGGCGCGGGCCGGGGAGGCGGGACCATGCGCCGAAGGGGGAGCAGTAGCGGGAGCAACACGGGTATACCGACGCGGAAGAGCGTGAACCGCGCGAAGCGGCAGAGCGCGTCGTCTCGCCGGAGCAGCAGCGTCAATTCGCGGCGGTCGAGCGTGAACTCGATGCATGTCGTGATGGAGAGCCCGAGCTACCCACTCGAGGGCATGGCCCACATATCGCGCCAGTGGAGTGACAACTCCCGTAGGAGCTTTGGCGCGCACACGCCCAATTCGGAGAGGGGCGATTATCCGAGCCGGCCAAGTTCGATCCGGAGCTTCTCGATGCCGAGCAACAGGCATAGGAAGAGCCCGAGCCAGAGCTCGGCGGGGAGCCTGCATAGGACGTCATCGCCGCTGCCCAGGAATCACAGGCGGGCGGGGTCAGGCTCGTCGACGAGGGTGGTGCGCAATCGCCAGGGGCGGCCGAGCCATATGCGCCAGAGCTCATCCGCGTCCGTGCACTCCGTCGGCTCGTCGAGGCACGGATCGACGCACGACCTGTCCGAGCTGGACATCCCGAACCGGACGACGAGCCCGTACAAGCCCTCGCGGAGGTCGCTCGACGACGGCAGTACGCCGCGGAAGACGACGACGTACGTGGCGCAGAAGCGGACGACGCCGTTCATGAGTCCGGCGGCGACGCTCGGCCGGTCGAGCTGGAAGAAGTCGTGGGGGCTGGAGCCGCCCGGCTGGCAGAGTCGGCAGATGCACGTTCCGATCGAGGTGCTGAGCGTCAGCCCCGTCGGCGCGGGTGGGGACACGCCTGCGAGCATCCGGGACGTGTTCTCGGGGAGGCAGAGCTTAAGCGTAGGGGACGAGAGCGATTGGGTCGACGAGGACGACGACGAGATGCCGTTCGCGGGCGGGCTGGGACAGATGCCGAGCAGCGCGACGAGCAAGACGTCGTTCGTATCCGCCGCGCCGTCGCCGACGGAGAATTATGCGCTTTCTGCGCCGCCGAAAGGTAAGGGACGCGCGGGGGGGTCGAAGAGGATGAACGATTGGAGTGGCGGATACGCGCCTGCGTCGGGCTCGGCGGGCGCGAACAGGCATAAGCCTGGGGTGTCGCCCGGTGCAAGGACGTCGCCGTTACCGACGGATGGATATGATTCGGGCGACATGAAGGGGACGAGAAGGCAGCTCCCGGTCGGCCGGAGTCAGGCCATGCGGCAAATCCCTATCCAGGAGGAGGACGAGGACGAGGAGTGAAGCGTCTAAGGCAAGTTTCTGCTGAGCTCTGATCTGTATTCCTTGCGTTAACTCAATATGTAGTCGCTCACTTCCGTCGCTCCTCGCCCATGCCCTATTTCGTCAATATTTATGCGCGCGCTACCAGTCCTTGGTTCCCTGTCGGGTCCTGCTTTCTCTACGCTTGCGCTCTCATCTTTCCCCTATTTCCACCACTTCGTTTGGACGTTTGACCAAACGCCGTCTGATAGTTGCTCTCCGCGTCCTCTCGCATCGCACCTGTGACCCTCTTTGCTACCGTAATCGCGTATCATACATGTAGGCAGTGACCTTATATCCCCTCATCGTGCTCGCTGTTTTCTTTTCTGGATATTTCTGTGGACCCTCTGGATTGTAGGTTTTGAAACGATCTATCGTCTCGGAGTGTAATTCGACGCCACCTTCTTCCATATGCCTACGAATAAGATCCAGTCCCCCTCGCGTACCAGACGCATATCCTGCTACCCGCAATTGCATTCGATATACCTCGTCGCGATGTTTCTCGGAAAGTGAGCGGCACCGCACAAGGCAGTGAGACGCATACGCACTGCGTGCCGCCACCGCCATACGCAGCTCTGCAGGTCAGCACGCCCACGTAAACAGCGCCCAACAACGGGCGCCACGGTGACGACTGCCCCTGCCCCCTTGCCTCCCGCGCAACTCGCTCCTCCTCCTCCCGCCCCTACTCCACCCAACCCCCAGCTCGTTTGATACGGTACGTCTTCGCTATCGACCACCACTTCGCCATTGCACGGAACTGAACCCGTTCGCGCCCGCGCAGACCCCCCCCCCCCCTCTGATTAACGATGTGCGTCACTTCCAACCGGGTCTCACTCTGAACCTCCAGTTTACTGATTCAACGTCTTTGTTCCCCCACGCGTTGTCGGTGTGAATGCGTGCAGGTCTGAACCTTACGACCCGTATGTCCCCCGCGGCGGCGCAGCCCCCGCCGGCCCCAGCGCCGGTAACTCGAAGACGGCCGCGATCCAGCAGCAGATCGACGACACCGTCGGCATCATGCGCGAGAACATCACCAAGGTGGCGGAGCGCGGAGAGCGGTTGGATTCGCTTCAGGACAAGACCGGTGCGTCGTGGTTTGGTGGACGCGTTCCAAAGGCGAGCGACGAGTGCTGATGGGGGGTGTAAACGTGGCCGGATAGATAACCTCGCGGTGTCGGCGCAAGGGTTCCGTCGTGGGGCCAACCGTGTGCGAAAGGTGTGTGATTGTAGACAAGCTTCATGCTCTTCTGAATACCGACGACATTCCTAGAACATGTGGTAAGTTTCGCAATAGCATTGTAACCGAAAACCGCGTGCCAATAATCCAATTTTTTTCGCGTGGTCTCAGGTGGAAGGATATGAAGGTAAGCCTCGCTTCTATGTCTCGAGAACTCGAGCACACCGTTGACCCTCTGTACCAGATGCGACTCATCATCGGCGCCGTGATCGCGATCATCATCGTCATCATCGTCGTCTCCATCGTGAAAGCGACGAAATAGTCGACTCGTACATGAAACGAGGACAACACCCCTATGTCACCGTTAGTTACCCACTCCGTCCTCACATGGTATTTTTCTGCCCTTTGTTGTATCTATGCGCGCGCTACTTTCCATAATCTGACTTTCCGGACTCGCTCTGCCGCCGCCACATGTCGCTCATCCGTCGAGAAAATGTAGATAGGGTGTAGGGTCTATCATGGTATTTGTGTGGAGTTCATTCGGTGGACTTGTCTGTGGCAGGAATTGCGATGTTGTTTACGAAGTTCAAGAACGTCTATGTGGGAGGGTTCGTTTTCACGTGACTATCGGTAAACATCGTACAAAGAACGCAGGGTTTACATGCAAATATCGGCACAAGGTAGGTAGGTATTTCCGGCGCGGTCCCGATAGCGGAACAACCGGTTGCCGCACCGCACGCCAATACGTGCGGCTTGGCGCACACAGTGCATCCACGGTTCCCGTGAGCTGTATAACAGCCGACACACCGCTTCAGCACTGGTACAAATAACTAGGTACATGTATGTGCTACTGTGCGCAATACATTACCTAGCGGCCGCCCACTTCAGCCGTCGAGAGTCAGTACCGAGAGTTCAAGGAAGTGGATGTAACATCAAAAAACGGCAAAAACAAAACACGACAACAGCTCCCGCTCCTTCAGAAGGACGCCCCCGCATCGGTCGCTGCGTACCACTGCGGGCCGTCTTCGTATCCGAGCTCCTCCTGCAGCTCCTTGATCCGCTTCTCCGACGGGCGCTCGTCGGGCGAGTCCCAGTTGTTGCAGAGCGACCAGATGAGCGCGCACGGGTCCTCTTCGTCCGATTCGACCGCGCGGGCGGGGCCGTACGCCCCTTGGAGCTCGAGCGCCGGCTGGAACCGCCTGACCATCCGCGCCAGCACGCGCGGCTCGTACAGCTCGTCCGCGTCCGTCACGTCGGCCGAGGGCTTCAGGACGGGGTCGGAGCCGGAAGGGTCGACGATCCAGGCGAGGTCGTGCGCGAGCGCGTAGGCGCGGGTGAGGCGCGGGTAGATGGGCCAGCCGAGGAAGAAGGTCGGCGGCGGGTGCTTGAGCGCGGCGGAGAAGGGGTCGAATACGGCCGGGAGAGCCGCGAGGGGCTGGAAGGTCTCCGCGAGTCTGCGCCGGTTCTGTGGGAAGAGAGAGAGGTGGGCGAGTGAGTGGTGGGTGGATGATCTGGGCGCGTACCCCCCGCGCGTTGTGGGTGGCGCGCTGCTTACCCCGGTGTGGGACGGATTCTTGGACCAGGGGAGGTGGAGGTGCTCGTACCAAGGGTATTCGGCGGGATCGGGGAGCAGGATGGGCTTGGAGGCGGCGTCGGGGTCGTCGGGGTAGACTATGCCGCGTACGGGGAGGAAGGTGTAGGTTGGCTGAGCATGAATGCGGGCTAGGATTCGGTCCAGCATTTCGGGAGTCGCTTGCGGGAGCCCTTTGATCGTGTTTCCTTCCATCGTGATGCCTTTGAATCCTTCCATGTGAGCTCTGGTCGAAAGTGGTTTATGGGTGGAGGTTGGCGTCAAACTCGGGTGTGATGGATGAGATTGGCGACGAGTGGGGACATCGTTGCGCTTTAGGGGAGGCCATCGTGATCATTGCCTCATAGTCCATTGCAGGCGATATGTGCTGGTCTCGGGCTTGATTGGGGTCGATCGACAGAGGAACAAGTTTCCCACGACCCAGCTGCAGGCGCAATCTGATCACAGAGTCCTAAGATGTAAGTGAGTACGTTGGGGGATATAGAGAACAGCTCGCATATTCAGGTCGATTGCAAGGCGAGCCAAGTACGACTTAAACCAACCAAGCAAAAAGACACGGATTGTCGTGATTCCGTGCGCCGTACGATATCGCACCAAATACACGACGAGATACTGCTGCACAGGTCCATTCATCGCTGACTTGTTGTTTGGGTTGGACAGCGCATTGGGATAGCTGCTCATGTCTGCCATCGGGTGTCCAATAGCAGACTATGCGCGTTTTCGGGGGTGTACGTGTGCGGTCTGTTCGTCCACGGGCCGTCCGTAGTAGAAAGTCGGCGGGGAATACCGTAGGTGTTCCGACCACGGGTCGAATCTCAGGGAAGGTCAGGAACAAGGCCATACACATCAATAAGCTTGTTAATCTCCCGGGTATATACTAGTGTGCGATCAGGACCACGGTTTGCGCTATTGGTGTAAGACTCGCCTCGGGAGTGCGATATTCCCTCTTCGTCCATGCGAGAACCGAAAGCTGTTGTTACCAACAAAACATTGTGTCATCGGAATTGATAGCATTCACCCCAGGTTCGACGGCATCAGGATCAAGAACGTTAGGCTTGATGGTTATTAGCGGATGCGCCAGGTCCTGCAGGATGTGTTTAAGTGTTAGCTATTGACGGTCACAGACCCGACAATGTATCATCAATCACCTAACGAAGGCACATGTTCTCAGGCTGGATCCAAGAACGTAAGATACATCGAGATGAAATTTTGAGGGGGCTTTGAGTTTCTTTCATTGTCAAGATTGGCACTGCTGGGGGAGCGCACGTGCGACGAGTCACGAGGATCTCCAGCGCTTTTTTTTTTGCCAAATTCATTCGGCGGGTTCTTCGTCCTGGGCGTTCCGGCCTGGTGGTCGTTCTCGGTACTGATTACAATCGGCATTCTATCTCATGGACATAGTCTTTGCGACGTCTAGCAGGAAACCCCGGTGTCACTACAAGACTTTATGAGCCAGAGATTCGACAAGATATCACCAGTTCTGATTTTCCCGAGCGCTCTCTTGGGGGGAGGGGGGTATTAAGCATCTCTACGCGAAGCTACGAACAACCTCCGCTAGGATGTTGTTGCCTTGCTCGTTACGGGCATGCGTTCTCCGACGTGCGTCGTCGTCGTCTAGCCTAGCGTGATGCAATGCCGGTTCCCACGTACCACAATTGCTGCATTGCAATGTCTCACCCGGGCAAAGCCAATCTACCTGGTTTTTGTTGCCTTGACGCGAGCTCTGGGGACTTGCTTGCCTACGGTGCTCACATACCGCGCTCTATCAGTGGGCATCATACTGGACGCATATATGCGGTTGGACGACGCTGAGTTGTGCCCGGGAAGTCGACATCCAGGATATCGAGACGACGAGGCTGTGATGCATTACTATGCTATTCGACATGGTGAAACATTCCCCCTCACCTCCCCTACGACATACGCGCAACATATGCGTACGATACATCGCCAGGACTAACCTCCGAGTCGCAGCGCTGACTCTCGTGATACAATGCCCCGATCATGCTTCGTGGTATCCTCTATCGGCACGCCTGCATCTGGCGATTTCAATCCCCGCGACAATGCCACAGAGGCGAGCAGTGCCCCACCGCACATGCTCTTTATTCTCGCGAGTCATGACTTGAACCCCATCTGATGTTTACGCGTTGTGTGTCAACGCGTGTTCAACATGGTTCTTACTTAACTCCAACTTACGCTCTCTCGGTACGTATCCCAACTTCGACTTGCATCCTTTCCTCTCCTCCCTCCCACGACCTTCGCCGCTACGGATCCTCGTCTCGTCTATATCAGAGCGCATTCCTCGTCATGAGCACCCTCACCGCCGTTACTCCCATGTTCACCCCAGAGGAGCTACAAATGAGCTTCACCGACTTGTAAGTACTTCGTTTCGCGTATATTGGACGCGAGAAACCAACGGTGTCTTCCTCACCTAGGTTAAACGCCCCCTTGATCACCAACCAAGACCGGCCACAGTTCTCGGCCCTTCTTAAGGAGGCGACCGACCAAAGCGCCACCTTCGACCCCACCCTCGACATCCCTCAATCCTCCTCTGTACCGTGTCACGGCTCGGAGCCATCGTTTTTTGTTTCAGCGTTGCCCGGTTCATCCCCAAGCTTCGCCGTCGAGTCTCCTCCCACTTACGTTCCCGCCCACGACGGTCGGAAGGATGGTTGCCCGCCGTCGTTTATGCCTTCGATATCCCCCTTCCCCTTCAAACCATCCTTTTATCAACACTACCATGACGCCACGCTCATGGTTCCATCGGCGCCTTCGTTGGTCATGCCTTCCGCGTCCGCCATAACCCCTCAACAGCCCGAAGCACATCTTGCGGTTGACGGTACCTTCTTTCCGCAAGCCACCAGCAGCCAGTACGCCGTCAACCCTTCGTATATCAGCGTATAAACAAACCATCCTAACTCACCGTTCGTAGGTTTGACTTCAGTGATGCTTACTCGGCTGTCAGTCCTTGCACTCAAGTCTCTCCGGCTTCGTGCGTACTATTCTCCATACCACCGCGAACACATGATTCTCACGAATTTAGTAGCAGGCACACGATGGCATCTATGCCGCTCGCCCCTCAGTTCATCACGTTTTCGTACGTCCTTCACGTTTCGTCTATCCAGCATCGTCAGGATGTTCATATGTCAAGCAGATCTGTTGTCGAAGATGATTCGCCATGGCTAGATCCGAATCTCAGCCTTCAAAGCATCGCGAACTCGTACCCTGACTACGATATGTCGGTATCATCCACGGAACAGTCTCTTCACGCCATGCAAGGTGGCGTTCGTCACGACGACATCAGCCCGTCTCCCTCCGGAAAGCCAAAGACTTTGCACATCGATCAGCATGGACCTACGCACTATTCCCGGATGACGCCTCCGTCGCAGCCGGCTCATCAGTCTGCCGTCCAATATGCGCCAGCGTCGCAACACTCCTCGCTCTGTCTGAATCAGGAGCCGTCTGCGAAAGGCAAAGCTGACCAGTCGACAGACGTTGCATTGCGCCGATCTGCACGCCTCGCGAGAGGTTCCGCCAATGATGGCAATGCTGACGTATCCCCCGTTGGAGATCTGGCCATCAGTCAAGACGAGCAAGAGGTCCCTGCCCCTAGGGTTCCGCAGGCGTCGTACAGGCGGCTCCCTTCCCACCGCTTTCCGAAAATCAAAGACGGCAAACAAGTCTGGGCTGAACTGGAGAAAAGGACCTACGCCTGCTGTTGGAAAGACTGCAATCACCAAGTGTCAGGATACGAAGAAGGAGCCGAACATATGGGCGAACACGTTTCCGCGCAAGGCGCTCGCCGCCGGTGCGAGGACTGCGGTACCGGCTTCGACAAGCACCTGGGTCTCGTTCGGCACCTTCTCAGCGGCTCCCATATGGGAATCTCAGTACAGTGCGCTATCTGCAACAGGGAATTTGCCCGACCCGATACCGTTGATCGCCATTGGAAGTCGGGGGCGCACTAGGGTGACCTAAGTCGACTCTCTTAGTCGACTCTCTTGGGCTACGCATCCATGCAAACTTTCTGTTCTCTGGGGACTCGGACTACTCTTCCGCCTTTTCTTTTGCTCCTTGGGATCTGTGCTACTCTGGGCTTTGTTCTATGGCGTGAGTAACGTGTATAACGTTACTCTTCCACGCCAAGTCGTCTTCTTTCCTCCTCGGTTACGCCCGCATCACGTGACCCTATCCTTTCGGTCCGCTCGGCCCGACCAACACGTGTCACCGCCGGTCCCTACCGTCTTTCCGGAGATGGGAAGCAGCAACCGAAAAAATAATCGCTGGGTTTCGCCAACTTCACCTGCATACTGTCCTTCTCTCACCTTCTTTCTCTTGTTGAACTACTGTAATGCTCGTGGGATGTCCATATTGGGGGGTGCGTCTATGCTGCTGCTTTCCTTCTAGATGGACATGGAATCGTTGACAACAGCACAATAGCAGGACCTGGTCGTGACTCAGTGCCGTGGCCAGTCGAATCCGTGTCACCTCGTTACGCTCACGCGCCGCGAGGCACCTTAACGACCCGATATGGAAATCAGGCCTATCCTTCAGCTAGCTGCCAGCGCTCTCGCCGCTCCTCGTCCTCCTCGCAGCTCCATCCCAGTCGTCGCGTCTATGAGGTCTATGGCAACTCGCGCTACAAGCTCGAAACTGGAGGAACGGACACCTCTCGCAATCAGGACGACAATGAGACGCGATGTGACGCCCACCACCCCGATTGCCCTTCTCTGGCTCGCTGTGGCCCTCGGCGCATGCGACCAACGGTGCGCAAACAGCCTTTGGGTTTAAAAACCCCCCCTCCTCCCTGTGTCTTTCGCTATATCAACCTTTCCTCTGTCTTTCCGGGTTGACAACCTACTTCGATCAACCAATATCCCATCTCTCGCCAGTCGCGCTCAATCGCGTCGCATTATCGCACTCCTAAACCACGCTACCTATAGCCATGCACTTCAAGGAATCCGTGAAAGCTGCTCTCATCCAATGGTACGTGTCGATTGTTCCCTCACGGTCAGTACGATTATCCTCAAAGCCGCTCGCAGTTACCTAGAAGCAGTGGCTGAAGACCCAGATGCTGGCACGGCGACCCTGCCACTCGATACAGACCCGTTTTGGCAGTCTGCTTTCAATAGCCTTGTAAGCGAGCAGAACGGAGTCCGTGGTCGTAAGAGAAGTCTTTCCTCCGATGTTGGGCAGAGGTACGCAATCATGGTGTTTTGTTATCGTACAGCTGTGTTAATCTTCTGTTTGCTCAGGTCGCACGTGAAGCAGCCCCGCCTGGACGAGGCCGGCATTCTCGACGAGGCTGCCATTCCCGACGAGGTTGCCTTTTCCGACGAGGCTGGCGTTCCCAAGGACGCTGGCACTCCCAACGAGGCGGACACTCCCAACGATGCGGGCATTCCCAACGAGGCTGGCATTCGCAACGTGTCTCTCGCCGCTCGCCGCATATCCATTGCGGCACTTGTGAATGAAGACAGTCGCTCCGATGTCGAATCAGAGGAACCGATGACGCCAAGAATCCTCTCAGACCATCTCCACGCGCAATCTGAGGTCGATGAAACATTGGCCCAGGAAGACGATTCGGCGTCTCGTATTGAGGACCATCCTGATACTGTATCCCAGGTTGCAGCTCTGCCGAGCAATTCTAGCGCTGACTCGGGACTTCTGGTCTCCCCTGGCGACGACGTCACAATGGTGGCTTGCCCTTGGCCAGGATGCATCGTGCTTGCCGAGGTGTCGAGCGGGAAGATCTCCAAACATATAATGGCTCATATCGTCGAGAGGAATGCTGGCCTTCAAGTTGCCGATTTCAGCTGCCCTTACGAAGGATGCGATACCAAGTGTTCTGACAAGAGGGCTCTGGAACGTCATCTGCGTTCGAACCAGCATCTGAAACTCAAGCTGCTGTGCACGATCTGCGACGCGACCATATCGAGGAAGGATGCTTTCAAACGGCACATGGACACCCAACACGGTGCAGGCAAAGACACGGGCGGTGGCAAGGGCAAGGGCAAGGGCAAGGGCAAGACCTCGGGCAGGAAACGCGAGAACGATACGCAAGAAGGAGAACAGGGGCGCGCCCCCTCGATCTGATCGCGAAGCCGTTGCCTCTAGCTCTAGCTCTCGGTGCTCACTGTCTGAGTGAACACCTGTATAGTCGCCTAACTGAACCCCTGTATAGTTGCCTCTCTGTATTGAACACGCGTATCACTCTTTGTACGAACGACGATATCATGTAACCGAAATACCTTATCAATACATTATTATATTCGATGCACTATAGTTTCCCGCAAGTCCGTCGAAATGAAGTGATGGGTGAGGTTCGTACCGTCGTCGCCGGCCGAATAAGTCAATCGCGTCCACATATCCTCGCTTTTCTGTAGGTACTCTAGATGAACCGGATTTTGAGCATGCTCTACTGCGAGCAACGACGTTTTTCTGTGCGCCAATCCCGCGGGGTGGCTGGCGGCGCGGCATGTCCCCAAAAACACGTGATCACGAATGATATGTTTGCGCTGATACCTTCTCCGGTCCCCGGTTCACTTTGAACGGGGCTCACGTCCATCCGCCTTCCGTTGTTGTTGCTGGTCTTCATCATCCATCGCTGTTATGCGCAGTGCGTCCCAAGACTGCGTGACAGTGCAAGGATTATCACGATGCCAGGAGTGCAAGACCCATTTCACCGTCGTCCGCACCTCGCGGATATCGCGGACGACCTGTCCATCGTCGCATCTCTGGAATCGAATTCCACGGAATCTGATTTGGCAGGTCCTGGCCGCGTGATGGGTCATATTCTGTCGGCAGGCGGAAGACGTCTCGACCGCATCGTCGGACGACTGGTGCACAAGCCTCATTCCCCGAACCCTGGCAATACACTAGCCGACGCCTCTTCTGTCTTCGATATACAGGCAGACGATCTTCTGGACGACTTCACTTTTGTCACGGATTCGCTTGATACAACTTCGGATGCGGTGGGATTGGGTAACACACTAGGCAAAGTGCTGTCAATCGGCGGAGAGCGACTTAACAGGCTTCTGGGAAAGACGATGAGCAGGCTCGGCTTTGGAGCCGATCCATCTATTAAACGCGTAGCTGAGCTGCTGGAGGCCCAAATGAAGGCGACCATCTTGCAAAGGCGTTGTGGGACATGTATGACGTTTTGGTCCGCTTCACCACGCACTTCCGCGATATCCCCACTCCAAATGCTGTTGGATTATGTCGGCGATTTCAGGCACCTAGGCTGCCTCACATGTCGCGGTGAGGCGGTACCAAAGCTCTTGTCGCAGAGGGAGTTCAGGAAGTTGTGCTCTGGCATTGTCCGTAGAACGCGGTACGTCTACTAATCATGCGACCGTGTATACGTTATTTCACTCGCTGAAGCTTCTCAAGGCAATCACACCCATACACGCGAATGTCAACTACTTATTGCATCTTTGCCCTTGCTTCGTTCCACGATAGCATGCGTGCGTATCTAGAAGGGATCGGTGCTATCGAGGCCCTGGAAAGCACGCGTCGTGACCTCACGTTACGGTTGAAGCATCATGAACCTCTATTGACGTCATCTCGCCGTGCGCTAGTGTGGTTTGCGCAGAACGACGTGCTAACGGTGTTGAAGACGTGCCTTGGAATTGCCAATGTCTCCTCTTCGACAACTAGGCTCAGGAAATATAATTTGCAAGGTGCCCTGGAGAATCTTGATTCCGGAATTACGCAACTCATAACTGTCATGCGGTGAGCCCACTAGATCCCCAAACCCGACTCATCAAATGACATGCCATGATGACCTATGTGGATCAGGCATCCAGATCATCAAGTTACGGCGATCGCAGGATTGACGCAGCTGCTGGGCCATTATTTCGATTTCTTGATACACATAAATCACCACGCGAGGCCAGTCGTACTGTCAGAGGGATTCGTTTCTCTGCTATGGTACCTCCTTGCTTCCACAGCAGATCCAGTCCTCGAGGGCTTAGTTGTGACCCTCCTATTGACCGTATATCACGAATACGCAACCTATTCTATAGAGCGAAAGTCTTTCCATCGCATGCTTTCCCAAGAACGCGTGGATAGCGCAATATGGAACGTCTGGGTATGGTCATCTCTTTCCATGCCTTTGTTTCGTACAAGGTTTGTACTACTTGTACTCTTCCAGTTAGCTTAACGAGAGCTTATGATGATCTATCGTAGGGTTTCCATGCCACAAGTCCTCCAGAAACTCCGGCCATCGGATTTGGAGGCACTGATGTTCGACATGCAAACGCCCTACGGGCAAGGCAGCGGTCCGCACCTTCAACCTTCCATGAGGGCAGGGATACGCAGCCTGAAAGGCGTCATGGCTTCCTTTCTAAGTGATCATGATCCAGTCCTGCAGCTCATAATGGATCTGACCTGCCCTCTAAACGAGCTCGCTGATGATTTCCAAAAGGCGCGTTTTTTTGCTTGGGAGATTAAAGGGTACGAGATCCCGAGGGCAATCCCGGAACAGGAACTATCGATTGTGAGGAGGCAGGTTGTCGAAGGAACACTGGAGTAAGTACTCAGATGCTATCCGGGTGACCTATCTGTTGACGAGAGATAGGTGTACTTGTACTGCAGACGATGTAGCGATGTACTTGAACAAAATAGCCCCGCATTACGAACGAGAGCTTCAAAACTGGCTCTTGCATGAACTCGGTTCTCTCTCGTGGTTCAAGGCAGCGAAACACGTTCTTATGGAAGAATGGTACAATTACGTCCCTCCAGAGTCGCCCTTCGAACTTTCCTTCACGTGCACCGGCATCTTCCAATATGTTGATATCACAGGATCAACGAAGGCAGGAGCACTCAGTCCATTCAGTGCGCGGATCATCCTTGCGAAATCTGACTAGCGATTCGTACTAGGTCATCAATCGTCACTGGAACAGTAGCATTCCCTCAGAACGACATAGTTGTTCTCGCCTTGTAACGCCCGACACGACAGCGCACATGCGCTGGGTACCAATGGAGGAGTTATCAGAAGCCTACTTCCCGATACGCATCGTTGGTATGGTCGGGAAAGAGCCAGAACGTTTCATTCAATGCCGAAACCCCGGGCTCATTACCCTCGGGGACAGCCAGACCAGCGGGACCGGGGAGACCGTATACTGTTTAGCACTCACCACATATGATGCTCCCGTGTTTTGGATGTCCAGGTGAGCCAAAAGGCGTCGGCGTGATTATGACAACTGAAAAGTGTTTACATAGCTCATATCTCATACACGCCATCAAGGGCGACGAATTTGAACTTTTGCACAAGGATGCAGAAACAGAATGCTCGTGCCAAGCGGACTGGAATCATTATTGGTTCACGGAAGAGGACGATTAGTGAAATGAAGCTGGATCAATATCATTATACGGATGGATGCGAGATGCGGTGACGTGAAATGTATGATATGCTACATGTGGATAATGTGTATATACTAATATTACACCGGTGGTCGTAAACATAGCTCCTTATATATCATTCACGAGATCCTTGAGGAGAGGTCGGGCATCGATAATTCTCGGATCCAGTCGTGCTCGCTTTGGTGAGCAGGCGTTGCTCTTCGCTTCATGCCGATCGGAATGTGGATCCGCTTCGGAAAGCAACGCCACATTCGATGATCGTTTGCGGGTTGTCAGCGGGATCAGCGAACGATGCATCTGATGTGCGCCAGGTGGCAGATTGTAGATCCATTTACGGTCGGCCATGAGCATAAAGAACTCATTCAACAGCGGAGCGCTCTGAAGCGTGCTCCGCGACCCGAATATGATAAGTTTTGACCGAGCGCGGGTGACGGACACGTTAACACGCCGCCAGTCCTTCACGAGCTCACCCACCTGAGGGCCAGTCAGCATGTATCAAGAGATGACCGAGATCTGGTGCTCACAGCTCCTGATTCGTTCGATTTCACCATCGAAATGATGATGCAGTCCTTGTCCCTCCCTTGACTCCGGTCAGCGGTGAGGATCTCGATGCCCGAATGATCCTGAAGTAGGTGCGAGAGGAGCTTGATTTGCTGGCGGTAAAGCGATATTACGCCGATTTGGTCTTCTCGTACACCCCCGGCGAGTAACGATCGCACTGTCTGATACACTAGTTCTGCTTCGACCTCGTTTTGGACCAAGTCGCCGACTTTGGAATCACGAGCGGGTACTAGATCTGTGTCGACGAAAACCGCCTTGCAGCTGGAGACAAATGCAATGTTAGGGAAACAGACTAGATGTGGGCAGCCAACAACATCACCTCTCGGCCAAAAGGTGTTCGATCCAGCAGGTGGAGTTCCCGCACGACGATTTGTGCATCGCCGTGAGCTGTTCGCGCCTAGGCAGAATCAGAGCTCTCTTCGCGACCTCTTTGGACCCGCACCGGAGGCGGTCGCTGTAGATGAGTTTGTTGGACAACGTCATGATGTCTTCGTTCATGCGGTACTGGAAAGCAAGATCCGTTACGGCGTGTGGATGCGCGTCGGACAAGCGCCTGAACAATGAGACGTCGAAGCCGCCCTTCTTCGCGTCCTTATTTCGCACCTGCTTAATCATGAGAGCCGCAGCTGGTTGAACCGATATCCGAGACTCACCAAAGGAGGGAGTTGGAAGTGATCGCCGACTAAAACAAATTTCTCGGCATGCCGTAGAGGTCCGAGACAGGTAGGCAAGGTAATCTGGGATGCCTCGTCCACGATGCAGTAGTCGAAAGTCCTTCGTGCAAACACCGGGCTGGGTTCCTCATATTAGACAACAAACTGTGGAGAGACGCGCAAGAAACTGACTGTTCGATCGACAAACACGTGGTCGCGACGACGGGAGGCGTCATCATCTGTTTCTCGAGCTCTTCGACGCTGTTCGCCTCCTTCCTCGCCGCAAGCGTGAATTTGTGGACATCGCGGTGGACCTGATGGCATGTTTGAAATCAGCATGGCGTTTCGGCAACGCGGAATCACTTCACGTACCTTGTCAACGTTACCCAAACGGAGGATACCGAATTCAGCATCCAATAGCTTGAGTAGAATAGTGTCCACCGCCGAATGGGTATAAGACGTCAATAGCACCGTCTTGCCCCTCCTGACCAGCTCCTTGATGAGAGCCACGATGACCGTCGTCTTCCCGGTGCCCGGCATGCCCAAAATCAGTGCATAGTCCTGTGCAGCCATGACTTTGTCCATCGCCTCGCGCTGGTTCGGGTTCATCCCCTCTAGCGCTTTCGCGTATGCATCGTCCAGCACCTCCACCTCGTCGTCTTCTTCTACGTCCGGCCAATCGAACTGCGGCGTTTTAAGATCGACGACGAGCCCGAGGCGGCGTTTATCACCATCTTGGTAGAACAGATGCGCGAGGTTATCACGGACACGACTCATCCCGCCGAAGAGCTCGTCGCGATCGATGCGGAAGAGGACGTCCGGAGTGGGGGTGCGGGTGCGGGCCGCGATGCGCCCCAGGTGCAGCTCGTGGTCCACACCGAGGATGACCTCTGTCGGAGTGAGCTCGACGATGAAGCCACGGGACAGCGCAAGGAGGTGGGGCTCCACAGAGATCGTGACGGCGTCGCCGACACCCATGTGTCCGTTCAGCAGAGAGGCCGCCTCGTCTGTCTCACCACCTTGCTTGACGAAGCGGTAAGTGAACTGGTGGATGCGATGGTGTGCCTGTGCCGCGGGCGGTACGTATGCATGGTCGAGCACCATGTCCGCGAAGCACCGACCTCTGGCCTCGCGCTCACGCGCGCCCATGATCCAGAGTTCCTTCTTGAACCGCACGATGTCGCGTTCCTCGAGCGAGATGAGTTGCTCCCATTTCTTGAAGAATTCGCGATGGGAGACGGTAAGGTGGCCCGTCTTTTCAAAGTAAATGTCCGCGATGGGCGAAGATACGTCCTCGATGTCCTCCACAGCCTGAGGAGAAAGTGGTTCATGAGTGATCTGCTGAAGCGATTGCACCGAGATACTCACCCTGCGGTAGAGCATGCATGCATCCGACACGTAGCAGCGCTTGCATATCCGCTCGTCGTCGATAGTCTCTGGTAGGAATCGTGCAGCGTCCTCGATTTGCACCACGTCGCGTTCCTTTCTGTCGTATTCCATGCCCTCCACGGTTTCATCATCATCGGCACCGTCGGGATGCTCTCCGGTCCGATCGCGTCCAACTTTGGCCTTGGCTCGCTTGTCCATCCATCCAGCCAGCTCGTTCCGGACACTAAGCAGGGCACGGATTTCGGCGCGGCCGGCGGGAACGCGAACGACTTCCTCGCTTTGGGTGTAGTACAGCAACCCGCTCTCGACGGCCTCATCATACCTAGAACGAGGCCTTATCGTTAACACCGACGGAGCCCGAAGATCGAGAAGAGACGCGCCTTTCGCTCATCAATAAAGTGTAAAGCATGGTCTGAGCACGATGTTCCATGCCGGCCACGTTCCTACCCGTCTTGATCTCGAACGGGAAGGGGGAGGATGTCATCGTGCTCGCCGAGGCTACCATCTTGGTCTTCGTGAACGGCGATTCCGTACGCTCCTCGACAACGCCTTGTACGCTGGCATCGATTTTGCCCTTCAGGCCCCACCTAGCACATCAGATATCAGATCACAAACATTCAGACGGGCACAACAGGTGCGAACCTCGGGCTCCACATGTCCTCTTCGACGTCGTGTAGGGCGGTGATGGCCAACAAACTCTTCTGACCGTTCTTGGCTCGGGTGTTGACGAGCACGGCGTCTTCCTACGACAAAACCTCGTCAGCTCCATATTCTAACCGAAATGGCCTTCGTAGAAAGTTTCTAACCCTTGGATTCCCCTGTTGTATGTATCGTTCTCCAAACACTTTGATACCGACCGCTCTCGCGTTGAGCTCTTTCTTCGCCGCTTCGACGTCGCAACCGATCGTAACGAGACTGCTAAGGCCAGAAGGGGTCCGGACGACACCGTTGATCAGCGAGGATATGAAGCCTTCGTCCCATCTGTTATTGGTCCGTCAGTCGGGATGCGCGGAGACCCACTGAAGTTTTTCTTGGCTTACCGTCCCTCTTTGAGACAGGATTGGACGACTTCGTGCAGCATGTTACCCCATACCAAACTCGGGCTAGCGCCTGATTCAGACGAGGCTTGCCTAATCAGCGAGCTGAGAAGAGGTTTTCGTCGACCTGTTTGCAGAGGAATCAAAAACCGATTCAGCACCAAGGACGAAAGACACGCACATTGACTTGCGTTGCTCAATGCGGTAGCTGTTAAGAGCAGATCGGGATGCGCGATGATGATGTTATTCTTGGATGTTATGTCTACGCTGAGAATTCCGGAGGCATCGCTCTTGAACGAGCCCAAGACGTTGACGACGTCCCCTGCAAATAGGAAAACGAATCAGCGAGGTCATGCGGGGCAGATGAGGAGCGCGGAAGAAACCTTTCTCCAGCTCTGTCCACGCCCAATCGTCGTGGAGAACAACCCGTCTTTGAGTAGTCGAAGAGTGCGTGGAGTAGATAGCTTTATCATCCCGGACGGTCAGAACCTGACGGGGGGACGCAGTCAGCAATGTCGTCTAAGGAGGGAAACCTGGCGGGGCGCCCGGGATCAATGCTGCACGCATCAGCGACGCGATCACGTGTGATTCACGAGCGCGCGCCCAAAAACGCCCTTCCCCAGATAGGTGCATACCTTGACGAATCGACCTGATTGTTCCAACTCGTCGATGGACTCGACGACGCACCGCGTACATTCCTCTTGTGTGTACGCTTCAGGAGAGCGGTCAGGAACGTCCGAGGCAGAGAGCTTTAAAGACGGTAGTTTCGCCTGCACGGGTGTTTTTCTCTTCATATTGTCCACGTAAGCAAACACGACGAGTTCGCGTGAAACAGATGGCTCACGTCGCGGTGAGATTTATGGGGTGACCTGCTTTTCTTCGGGGTGAGCATGTCTTCCCAGTCCCAGTCCTCCGCGCCGGCAGTGAGCGCGGCAAGATCCACGTCCGCAGCCTGCACGTTCTCCAACTTGTGCGTCGGCTTCTTCGGGGACTTGTGCTTTCGGGGAGTGAGAAGGGCATGTTGTGCATTATATACGCGGGAGGAGAGCGGGGAGAGAGGCGTGGATCTCGGTCGAGGTGCAGGAGAGGAGCGTTTGTGGTGTTTCTTCGGGTGTTTACGAGGAGAGTGTCGCGCTGGAGATGCCAGGGGGGAGGAGGAGTTGAAGAAGGAGTCGTCCAAGCCGGAGAGCAGCTCGCTCATGAATGCAGCCTCTTCTGCTGCTGTGCGCGTCGGGGCCGGCATGTTGCTAGAGGATTGGAGATGCGTGGGAAAATTCTGGCGGCGCGTTGACGGAGACGCGGTGGTGGAGGGTGGTGGCGTGGCGCTTTGAAGCGGCAACGGCCCTTCGGGACTTTGCTCGTCCACCAGCATTGCCCTGCAGGTAACATACCTGCGCGTTTTCCAGTGAGATTATATCACTCCCCGACACATAATCAGCCCTCGGAAAGAAAAGGAGACGCGCCCATTTCTCCTTTTCCGCGTCAAGGTGATGCATCTCCGCCATCATCGGGAGCGATCACGGCGACTCGACCTCGACCTCGACCTCGAGAAGAAAAGGAGACGCGCCCATTTCTCCTTTTCCAAGTCAAGTTGATCCATCTTGTGGTCTCCGCCATCATCGGGAGCAATCACGGCGACTCGACCTCGACCTCTTCTTCTGGACACGACCCGCTCTTGTCGTCCCTGATAGACCAATAAGTAGAAGGCACCAGTGGCTCTTGAATCGCTGATATCGTCCCCTTGACCGGTGTACTCTCAAAAGTCCCTGTCCTCGTGGGTGCGAAGAGTCTGTACGTATCGCCGTTTTCTTATGTTCCTGGACGCGGCGGATGATCACTGACGCACGCATGCACGGCTTGATATGACTCTCCGGACCACGGCGGGCGCATCAGATATGTTTCCGCTTGGAAGATCGCGGTGTACTCTTACCATAGCCGCGGGCGCTTGTGCCTCGCCGTCGTGACTCTCATTTCGCCGACACGCCCACACAGTGCGCTCTTCAACACCCCATATGCACCGAAAGGACCGTCCCTGGAGTGCCTATTTGCGACAGCGCAGTCGACAAGTCTGACTCGGCATACGCCGCGTCGGTCTCGGGACCGACGCCATCACCGCATCCCGCCGTTCCGGGCCTGCGGGGAGAGCGCATCACCCGCCAAGTGTGTCTATATATGGAATTCGACGGCGCTCCTTCGCGTACACGTGCTTTTTTATCCGTGGCGACCGTCTCATGACTTTGCGTGCGCACTGCGCAGCGTCGATTCATCGCGGGATACCTTTCGCGTCGTGTTCCCCTGGCACGGGGAGCGTTGGCCGTGCGCCCACTTCGCCGGACGTTGCCCACGCCAGGCGTGTACCCAGGTACTGGGCAAGAGTATAAAAAGAGGGCGAGGGAGGGCGATGGAACGGCAGACAGCTCTCGCAGTCGACCCCCTCGTTTTTCTCTCTCTCTCCGTCCTCTCGTCTCCGTCATCACCGTGTGGCAATGGCCCGCTTTTCTGCCCTCGTCGCGTTCGTCGCACTCGGTGCCGCCGTCGGCGTGACGGCGCAGGAGCCCAACTGCGCCAGGAACTACACCGTCCAGCTCGGCGACACCTGCAACAGCATCGCCGCCGCCCAGAACGTGCCGACGTAGGTTTTTTTTTTTTTCGCTCCTGACCGCGCCTTTTGTGTCCAGCCGTGTCTCGAAGGCTGCGCATTCTGAACGGGCCCCGTCGTTCCTTACAGGCTGCAACTCGAGGAGGTGAACGCGGACAAGATCGACGCGGACTGCTCCAACCTCGCCCTGGGAGAGGTAATAGTCCACACACTCCGTAACAACGTCTTCTGATTTCGACTTGGCGTGCTTTTTTTTCTCCCTCTGCAGCCTCTGTGCTTGGGCATCATCGGCCAGGACTGCAACGTGACGCATGTTGTCGCGAGCGGCGACACCTGCAGCTCGATCGCGGGAGCCGCTGGGATCAAGTTTAGCCTTCTTCTCACCAACAACCCGAACATCGACGACAACTGCGACAACATCGGCATCGGCGAGGTGAGCCTCTTGAGTCGACAAAAAGCCGCAGGTTGCCGGGCGGTGATCTTAACGCGGCTTTTTTGGTTCTTATCTGCAGGTCCTTTGCACGGCCAACACGACGATCGTCCAGTAATTAGTTGTGGGGCTTGTGGATGTGGGACTTCCGTACGCGCGAGTTGTACGGTCAAGGCGCTGTCTCGTGTATTGCTACGCTCGCGAACAATTGGCGGGCGGGCCTGTTTTTGGATATCAGTATGCCGCCCGATCGGACCTATTTTGTGAAAGCGCCTGGTAAGGACCGGTTTCTCCACTAAGCGTATAAAGTGCGTGGCTATTCCAGACCGACTTGGGGATATATATATACGCTGCATCTCACGCTGGATGGTCTTTGGTACTCATAACAACACGACCTACTAGAGTGGGCAACTTTCGACGCCATTCGTGACAGGAAAAGCGAGATCCACGAGAAATATCTACTGCTGCTCCATGTAATGCAGCATGTTCGCGAGCTATGCAAGGCGGAAAGAGCATACTTACAGACGTTGGGCGCGTCACCACCCCGAACCAGTCAAGGGTCCCCTAGTCGTAAATGTTATATATCCACCAATGTTAGGGGTCCAAGTATGTTTTTCTGCCGCCTCATGAGGGTGGTTCCCCGCGACTGTCGACACTACTTACCTGTGAGTTAACTGCGAACCGCTCGAACATGTAATAGTCGCCATGCAAAGAGAAATCGAAGGCCGTGTTTTGCCGCCCTGATCGGACGATCGCCCACGTGGCTATGGCAACCTATGACGCCAGATCCGCTCGACCGAACCCCAGATTAGGGAAGTCCACTGCCTAGAGCAACGCTTCATCACCGTCCACGATGACAATGTTGGCCACGAAGCCTTCCTCGAACGCCTACTCAACGCCGCCAAATGAACACGTTGAGGGAAGTCAAACTTCCGCATCTCGGCGCAGTGAGCAGCGCGCGCTACGCACAGATCCGATTCAGGGAGCACCCCAGAGTCCATCGAAGCTCGCGCTCGTCACGACGATCGGCGACACCCTCGAATCGCTCTCCACAATAGGGGGATCCAAATATCGCTTCAAGGGCGACGCTTCAGCACAACGCTTCGAGCAGAAGCGGGACTCGACGATTCAGGGTGAAGCGGCGAAACGGTGAAGCGAGTCGTGAGCCGCTTTCGCCACCTCGAAGCGCGCTTCGCTTCAAGCCCTTCAGACTTGTAGTTCATACTGATCACATTTGTAAACTGATCGATAAAATTCCATGACTTGTCCGTTTCTTGCTCCCATCTCGCCGCATATCTCAGTATGCCCAAGCGTGTCCCCCGACAACCAGTAGCATCTCCTGCGAAGAAAGTCAGGCTCGCACCTGTCAACAACACAGCGGGAACGGCTGTGCCGGCCAAAGCGAAGGTCAAGGTTAACGACAACATGTACGAAGTTTTCACCACTGTTCACGGATGATATCTCACTTGTGTTTAGATGGGAGAAGAACCCGGACCTTACATGGTCTCTCATCAGCGCCGTTGAGGACAACGAAGACATCAAACAGGCCCTATTCCCCGGTGTGGGAGCCAACGTTTCGACAGGCCGCGGTGGTGGGAAACCGAAGACAGAGTTCCAGTACATGGTGGCAGCAGAAGTCTTCGGAAAGCATGACAGCTTCAAAGACGAGTTCCACGCTGCGAAGACCAGCAAGGAGAAGAAGCTGTGGTCGGACAAGATAAAAAACCGCATCGACAAGTGAATCCGTCTGACAGAGTTTCAAGAAACCGTCTGATGTTCCACGTATACAGGCTCATCAAGGCAACCAAGCAATACAAGGAGGAGCTGGGGTCGACGGGAGAGGGAATCCAGCACTCGTCGGATATCGATGAGGATGCAAAAAATGAGTTCGTCAACAAGTGGCGTACGTACTGCTGTCCTGGCACATCCTCGCTTTCGCTGAACACCTTGCAGTCGCCATCAAGTCGAAGTTCCCTTGGTTCTTTGAGATCCGCAATCTCATTGCAGAGCGACCGAACGTCACGCCCGTCGGGATCGGCAACAGCTCAAGTGAATTCGACTTGTCTGTTCTCGGTCAGAGTGATTCGGAGCCCACGATCCCTGGAGAGCTCAGTGACGACGAACCCGCCATTGAGAAGACTGATGACGAAAACCATGATGAGGACGGCGGACTGGTGATTGTCGAGAAATCCAAGACCGACGATCTCGCCATAAAAGACGAGGGTGTGGATGTTGTTGTGAAGAACGAGGCCGTAGATGTGTCATCATTGGCTAAGCACACTCCGGCACGTCCTGCCCGCTCACAGCCAGTATCGCAGTCGGTCGCAAAAGGAAAAAAAAGCAAGGGACGCGATGATATCTTCGAATTTGCGGCAGAAGAGCAGAAGACGCAGCAGGCGGAGCTTGGCGTTCGCAAGATCAAAGTTGAGGGTCAGATCCGGTTGGCGGCGGAGCGGCAGACTCACAAGTTCAACCTTGAGATGGCGAAGGTCAAGCAGATGGAGGCCGATAGGGCCTTGGAGAAGGAACGGTTGGAGATCAGGCGGATGACGCTGATGTTCGAGATGGAGAAGTTCCGTCATAACGCCGCCGCCTCATCGTCGAGCACCGTATCTACGCCCTCATCGTTGTTTGTCCCCTTGCAGCCATTTGACCTCGGGCTCGCCGGATTCAACTCGGAAGGAGCAGGACCGCCAGGCAATGCAGAAAACGAGTTCAATTTCGGCACTCTGGCACAGTAGAGATATGGCATCCGTATGCTAGGCTATCTCGCTAGTAATCATATTCATCAGAACTATCCTCCTCGCGCAAGGTGCTCCTGTGTTCGCGTGCGGCAAACAGAGCTTGCTTTAGCTCTTCACGTCGTCGTTTCCCTGCTGCCAAGCTATTATCACCTCGAGGAGGACGTTGGCTTGTAGCACGTCTCCTGGTGTCAGAGTCTGAAGATGATAGACCCGCTCGAATGAATTGATCTTCATCAGAATCTGAGTCTTTTTCCTCTGCTTCATATCGGGAAGCAAACGCGTGGAGAGCTATGCATGCTGCGACCCAATATGTGGCAATCTTGTGCGACCTTTCATCCACGATACGGACACGAAGACCCTTCAAAGATTGAAAGTGCCCTTTGAGGTACCCAATTGCATGCTCAGAGCGGATACGGAGGATGGATAGGTGATTATTGAAGTCTTCATTCTCAGGAAGGTCATGATCAGGCTTCTTATATGGGGCAATCACCCAGTGTTTGACCTACGGGAGCTATATGAGCGACAGATATACGACATGAGGGACAGACTGACAGGATATGCGGAGTCTGCCCAGATCCATTCCTGACCCTCCAAAATCATCTCGTGCTCGCGATACACCCTCGTCTCCTTCCATGCCGTCGAGTCATGTGTGCTCCCGGTGAAGCCATAGCCGAAATCGATGATTTGCAGATTTGGCAAAGATATGACCTACCTTGCGATAAGCATTTGGTATTGGAGTGGGAAGGATTACACACCTGGATGTTCAGAGAGTAATTGCACTTGCGATCGTAGTAACTCTCTCCGTACCAGTGTGGTCGGTCGTAAAGCGGGACAAGAGTACCATCAACGAAGAGCCAGCCATCCCGCCATTCGTCACACGATTTTCGTTCAACCCATCGCTTGGCTTCCTCCTTCTCCACCGTGGTTGGAAGACGAACAGCCTGGTCCATGAACGATCTCCGGAGCACTGCTGTCATAACACGCCGTGTCGCATTCTCAACTGTCCCCTTCCCGACACCAGCCCATTTTGCGATGCGGGACACTCCAGCAGAGTTGCCGTTGTGCCCAAACCGGAAGAGTACAATGGCAAGTTGCTCTTCCACTGGCATCTGAGCATGATGAGAGTGGTTGCTGAAAATCGGATCATGCTCGATCTCTGCGACAATTCGGTCGAACACAGCGGGGCTGACTCTCAAGTCATTGCGGAAGTGATCCGGACGTTGCTCCTTCATAACGTCCAGTGTGTGTCGGAGATGGCCTGGAGCTCGTGGCAGCCCAGTCCGAGGAGCTTGGTAACGGTCTCTATGTAGGGTGAGATATTCTTTGACGATGAGGCGGCCAACGGTTGACGGCAGCAGCATAGGGATGTCTTCATCATCCGAGTCCGACTCGTCATCGGCGAAAACGTCGGAGTCATCATCATCGACACTATCCGTGTACGCTGAATCCGAATTAGTGTCGTCGTCGGATGATATGGAGAGGTTGCTCAGGATGCTTGATATGTCGGAGATCTCATTGATGGCTCGACGCGGACGGGGGCCCAGCAAGGCTCGACGGGCTTTCTGCCGATGGTATGCTCTTCGTGCCTTCCGCAGATGCGCATATCGGTGCTTTGTATGAGAGACGAATGCATTCAGAAGGGATAGTGTAGCCCGCTGCCGTTTGGTATAGCGCGGCATGGTAGGTTATGGTAACTGTGGCGACGATACAAAGAGTGGTAAGTAACCCTAAAGTGATAGAACCTATACACGAGATGTAGTGGAGCTGCAGCAGAAACGGTCCTGAAGCGTGCATGAAACGGGGGTGGTCAAAGTTGAGTCGCGCTTCACCCCCGCTTCAGGGAGCAGAAGCCAACTCGGAAGCAGCACCTGAAGCGACCCAGAAACGTGATATTTGACCTCCTCTAATGAGACACACTGCTCCCGCTTCCCTCCCCGAACCAGCCGCAACCCTCTCTCGCTTTCTTCTCTCGTCCGACTCCTAGCCTTCTCCGCCTTGTATACCCCGCTGGCGATTGCAAACGATACCCATGGACGCAAACCTCGTCCAGCAGCTCAGCGCCGACAGCGGCTGCATGCGCCCTATTCGCCTGACACCGCGCCTCGTCCTACTCGCGTGTCTCTGCACTTTCGTGCTCGTCTCGACCTCCTTCTTCTCGCTCCAGGCACGACCTCCGGACGCGTTCGAACCCCAGGCGCTCTCCGCAGCCGAAACCATCGTCGATACGGATGTTTCACCTCCGTCACTCCCTCCGCCACCTCCTCCTCCATCGTCGCCTCTGACGTCGTTACCGCAACGTATCGCGCCCCGGATATCCGTCGTCGCGATATGGGAAGGCTCGTTCCCGTTCCCCGCGCTCGTCAACTTCTTCGCGTCCTTCCGCGCCAACGCCCCCACCGTCGAGCTAGTCTGGATCGGCATTCGGAAAGACGAGCAGGATGCCTGCCTGGACATTGGCCAATACGCCACCCTCGAGCACGAGGACCCGTCGTCCAACATCGTTTTCCGGTGTCTTACTCGGCTTGAATGTACATACCTCCCGTGTCATCCCCCCCCTGTGTTCGTACTTTTGCTGACGAACGCGATCTCAGACTGGACCGCTCACCGAGAGTACTTCTGCCGTCAATGGAAATGCAGCGCAGAAGAGCGGCAGGAGGTGCTGGACGTGTTCATGGAGCGGAATGACATGGATAGGGTATTATGCTCTGCTGTTTCGATCCGAAATGCTTGCCGACACCTTTTCATCAGAACAAGTCGTTATACCGGATATGGCGAGGATACATTTTCCGGGACTTCCTCCACTCCGAGACGCAATGGTGGGGATGGGCCGATGTGGACACCTTCATGGGCAGCTTCCAATCTCAATGTATGTTCTCCCTCTCCAGACCGCGTTACCCTCCAAACTGACATGCATCGTGTTTTACAGTCCCCTGGGATGTCGCGAGCGATTACGACGTCATTATCCCGGCGCACACCGACTCGATGCTCTACCTTCGCGGCCACCTCGGCTTCATCCAAACGCGCGCCGAAACCGAGTTTCGTATGAACCTCTACGACAACATGCGCTCCATGGACGGCTTCATCCACCGACACAAGGACGCCTACTGGTGTGCCGGTACGTGCCTTCCTTATCTCTCCACACTCGTCCACCAGGGCTCATGACGATCTCCTTCCAGAGGAAGCCGAATTCAGCGCGTTCGTCATCCGCACGCCCTCCATCTCCTTCCTCACCCTCCCCTACCACCTCGTCGAGCTCGGCTTCGACGCCCGCTCGCCCGCGACCGCGCTCTTCGCCTCGCCCTCGGGCGCCTACGCCCTCTCGCCCTCGCACTCGCCGCCCCTCCCCGCCTTCCCGGACTTCCCCCTCCTCGCGCTCCCCTCCGCGCCCTCCTCCTTCGTCCCCACCTTCTCCGCCGCGGGCGCGACGCATCCCGTCGACCTCGTCACCGGCGTGGACCGCGACAAGTGGGTCCCGGCGGAGACGACGACGTTTTACGAGCCGCCGCCCGCGGACGAGCTCGGCTGGGCGGCGGGGGAGGAGGGCGAGGGCGAGCCGGTGCGGATCGTGGGCAGGGGAGGCGGGTTCGAGGGCGGGCGGGAGGGCGTGTGGGAGCGGTTCGAGCGGGCGCGGCCCGAGCTGCGGGTGCGGGTGTTGGGCGCCGCGGACGGGGAGGTGCGGGCGTCGTTGACGGAGGGGCTGTACATCCACTGGATGGAGCACAAGTACGAACATCGGCCGAGTGAGTCTTGCACTTTTTTTTCTTTTTTTTTCCCCCTTTCCTTCTTCTTCTTCTTCTTCTTTTCCTTGGTGGCTCGGAATGGTGCTGACCTTTCGCCGTGTTTTCTCTGTTGTAGCTTTCGATTCGATCCCGGCCCGCCCTCTGTTACCCTCCGAAGCCCTGGCGGCGTACTATACGGACGGCATGGAGATCTGGAATATCGATCGCGGCGAGCTCGTGTGGCGGAGCGTCTTGCTCGATTGAAAAAAGAGTGTATCTCGGTCGCCGTCTTGTTTTGTTGTTCCCATTGCTTTCCGATTCGTGTCCAGTGCACTTCATTCGCCCGCGGTTCATGCCGGTTCAAAACCCATCGTAGAGTACCAATGCCACGTTTACCTCGGGCATCGTTATCATTTGTACAAATATAATATGATCGTGCTTTTGCCTCAGTCACCACTGTGCCCTCCAAGCCTCGACGCCCCATTTGACAGCTATAGCACGGTTTATTCTCTTCAAACGCAGTAATGCGTGAGTATGTTCCGACTCCTGACTTAAGGGTCAGATCGGCCCCGTTGATCCACACTTATCTGCCATAATTGCAGCACCTTGTTTCATCGTATGCTGCATATGCATACTTATTTTAAGGCTATATATACTAGCGACGATAATAGGATGAGGATCTAGGTTTGATCTGATACGACAGCCATTCTTCCGCATCGCACGCAACGGTATAGTTTCTTTTTGAGACGTTGTGTACACGATACCAAGCAGAATGTTTAGCAAAAGACGCTCAAAGCCTCAAACACAGCCTGGTATGTCGAAATTGGGGCACTGGGGTTCTATGGAATGCATGCAATGCGGGATGTTCTGGCGCGACCGGCGAATCTCGGCACGCTAACAGCCCATTTGCACTTTAGCAGCCATTCTCCCGGAGATCGTTTGTCTTGATCACAGGCATTCGAGAGTTCTTCTAGTCTTACTTAGTGCGCTCATGTTCAGAATGTGAGGCAAGTCGGGAGGTCGGAAAGCTCGGCCGAGACTACAGCCCTTTATAGCCATCGTCAGCGCTCCCCAGTCATGCCGATCCCGTTTCTCCTCTCCGTTTTTCCACAGCCAGGCTCAGGGCCGTACAAGCTATCTTAGACGCTGACGTACATATACTGCTCGACCGGACGGGAAGAACGCGCAGACAGTTCTGTCGCAAACCTCAACGTAGACGCGCACCGGGATGCTATCTGCAACGTCGAGGGCGGTCAGGGCCACGGCCTCTCGAGCCGCCGTGCCCAAGCCTGCTGCTGTCGCGAAAGCCTGCAACGCGGTCGTGGTGAAGAGGACTATACGGGGGATCCACAGCGCGAGCTCGTCTATACAGACCGATAGGGTGCGTCGGGATGGCGTGCTTTCGAACCGTTTTCGCTAATCTCGTTGGTTTGGCCGTAGGATACTATCACTCGCTTGCTATACTCCATCGGCACCAAGAAGGAGGTCGAGCGCTACCTCCGCATCTTCTCTTCCTCGTCGCACCCCTCCAACCCTGCCAAATTTGCTGTTATCAAGATCGGCGGCGCCGTCCTGGACGAACTCGATGAACTCGCGCACGCTTTATCTTTCTTGTACCGCGTTGGCCTGTATCCGGTCGTGTTGCACGGCGCGGGTCCTCAGCTGAATGAGATCCTTGAGCGAGAGGGTGTCGTGCCCGACTACATAGACGGGATCCGTGTTACGGGTATGCAGAAATTTTATACTGCTTTACACCAGACCGGGTTAGACTGACAACGCCGATCCGATCCCGTTGACGTCGCATTTCAGACCCGAAAACACTCGGGATTGCCCGTAGGGTGTTCCTGGAGGAGAACCTCAAGCTCGTCGCCGCTCTCGAGAGCCTCGGGACGCGTGCTCGCCCTATCACCTCCGGCGTCTTCCAAGCCGACTACCTCGATCGCGCCAAATATAACCTCGTGGGCAAGATTACGAAGATAGACAGGCGGCCCATAGAGGCATCCATCCGTGCCGGGGCTTTGCCGATCCTTACGAGTTTGGCGGAGACCACCGAGGGCCAGATTCTCAACGTCAACGCGGATGTTGCGGCCGGCGAACTTGCGAAGGAGTTCGAGCCGCTCAAGATCGTATTTCTGAACGAAAAGGGTGGACTGTTCCATGGCGTTACGGGCGAGAAGCTTGACGTCATAAACTTGGATGAAGTACGTTCTACCAGACATTTATGTTTTGTGTGATGCTCATCGTTACGGAATACAGGAATACGACGAGCTCATGCGCCAGCCATGGGTCAAGTACGGCACCAAACTCAAGCTTCGCGAATTCAAGGAGCTTCTGGACGTTCTCCCGCGCTCCTCCTCCGTGGCCGTCATCTCCGCATCCTCCCTTCAGAAGGAGCTCTTCACAGACTCCGGCGCTGGGACGCTTATCCGCCGGGGATACAAGCTCTTCAAGCATGGCGCCGTCGACCAGGTCGGGCGCGACCGGCTTCGGGAGGTGATCAAGGAGCGGGACATAGATGTGCTCGCGGGTCTAACGAGCCCGGGAAAGGTGCTCGAGGGCATCGAGAAGCTCGGCGCGGGCAACTATACGATCTACGGCGACGAGCCGCTCGACGCGCTCGCCGTCGTCTCGCACCCGCCAGGGAAAGTGCCTATCCTGACCCGCCTGTTCGCATCGCGCTCGGGCGTGCTGAACAACGTGCTCGACAACGTCTTCGATGCGATCCGGAAGGACCACCGCCGCCTGTTCTGGACCGCGCCGAGCGATGACGAGAACAGGGCGTGGCACTTTGAGCGCGCGGAGGGAAGCTTTATACGCGGCGGGCGCGGGCTGTTCTGGTATGGCGTGGGCGACGTGGGGGAGGTGGAGAAGATCGTGAGGGGATTCGAGGAGGAGGGAAGGATCGAGCGCGCGTACCTCCCCGTAGGGCCGGCCAAGGCGCATCGCGCGGCGGCGAGTGGGATTGGGGGCGCGAAGGCGTTCTCGACGCTGGCGAGGCAGGTGCCTGGGTCGAGCCGCGGATACGCGACGGCGGCGAGCGTGCCGCCCAACTTTGAGACGAAGACGAGGAACGTCGCGCTTGTCGGCGCGAGGGGGTTTACCGGCCAGGCTTTGACGTCGCTCTTCGACAAGCACCCGTATATCAACCTCACGCACGTCTCGTCCCGCCAGCTCAAGGGCTTTTCGCTGGAGGGCTACAACAAATCGAAGGTGACCTATAGGTGCGTTCTGCCCTCCACTCGTGCTTCTGGCTCTGGCCGATGTTTCGCCCCTGAGTGAAGCGACCTCAGCGTGAAGGACGTCGAGAAGATGGAGAAGGACGGCGAGGTGGACGCGTGGGTGATGGCACTTCCCAACGGCGTGTGCAAGCCCTTTGTAGACGCCGTTGACGCCGGTGCAGCAGCTAAGTCGAAGGACGGCAAGGAAGGCGGCGTGATCGTGGATCTGAGCGCTGACCACCGGTTCGAGGACGGGTGGACGTATGGGCTGCCGGGTTCGTCTACTTCCCACGTGTAATATACAAGCGACAGATGACTCAACGTGAACTTGAATCCACGGATTTTCCTCTTTTTCCTCTATAGAGCTCTACTCGCGCGAGCAGGTGAAGACGGCGAAGCGGGTCTCAAACCCGGGTTGCTACGCGACTGCGGTACAGATGCTCCTCGCACCGCTGCTGCCGCTGCTCCCTTCGCACCCCGCCGTGCTCCCGACGGTGTTCGGGATATCGGGGTACAGCGGCGCGGGGACAGTGAGCGGGCCGACCGACGAGCAAGGCAGACCGACGACTCTGCCCAAGGTCTCGCCGCAGAGTCTGAAAGGCGGCATTCGGCCGTACAGTCTCACGGGACACATCCACGAGCGCGAGGCGGGGAGGCACCTCGCCTCGCTGCTGCCGGCTGACCACGCGGGCGAATTCAAGGTCGCGTTTACGCCCGCGGTCGCGCCGTGGTTCTCGGGCATACTCGCGACGGCGAGCGTGCCGCTGGCGAAGAGCGTGAGCGCGAAGGAGGTGTGGGCGCTATACGAGGAGCGGTACGCGGGGGAGAAGCTGGTAAGGATGAAGAAGGAGGGCGTGGTTGAGCTCGCGGACGTGGAGAATAAGCACGGGTTCGTGCTGGGCGGGGTGCAGGTCGCGGCGGGTGGGGAGCGCGCGGTTGTCGTGGGCGGGTTGGATAATCTGCTAAAGGGCGCCGCGACGCAGTGCTTGCAGAACTTGAATTTGGCGCTGGGGTACGATGAGTACGCCGGGATCCCGCTGGACTAGCGAGGCGAGTCGTGCTCTTGCAAGACGTGCTTGACTATGGCTCAATTCGCAGCTACAGGGACCAGGACGTTCATTGGCACCCTACAAAATGAGAACAAAAGGGTTCCATAGGATGATTGTCTGAATGGGATAATGGGCACTGCCCGTGCCCACAGAGGACGTCTTCTGGATGGATCATCAGCACACTATTATTTTCTTAATTCCGCTCCTTGAGGATCACACTCTGTTCCGAAATCTGTGTAAACTGTTCAAATATGACACGAGCTCTATTAATTAACCTGATTGCTCTCTGCTGCCTCGCGGCAGCTTCTTTGATACCGTTCGCTATAACGGTCGGCGGTCTCACTGCATTTACCACGGACGCGGCTCCTTCATCCTGCGTGCTCCCGTCGTCGCTCTCCCGTATCATTCATGCCAACCGCGACCAGCAAATGGTCGTGCCTCACTCGTTGGCTGCGATGGCGCTGATAGGCAACGATTTAGGCGCTCGTCTCGGCCGGTTATCGCACGCCGTCGCGTGTCTTTGTTCCATTTCCACCGAGCTACTCCACGAAACGGCGGTTACGGTCACCACTGCGGGCAGAAGCGGTTCGATTCGATATTCAGCTTCTTGTTTATAATACCCCTCTTCAGTTCGTCTTCCGTACACTTCCGTACACCTCTGATCGACCGCACCAAATTTCCCGGACGCATACCATCATTGCTCGCGCTGCTATTGTTGCTATATGTCGAATCCCACCAGTTACTATCAGAACGCGCTCCATCAGATTCAAGAGAGGCAAGCGGGAGCCCAGAATGAGGACCCAACTCTGCCGAACTTCAGCGAGAGGCAGGTGAAGAGTGTGCCCGAGCCGGCGACGTTCAGCCCGTCCGACCAGCAGCTGTGGCGTAAGTCATCTACCAGGTTCCTCAGGTTGTGTATCTTCGCGCTCATTACGACTCGTTTAGGCTATGGAGAATCGGGCCAGCGTATGCCGAACCTGGAGTTCCTCAAGCCGCACTTCTTTCGCGAAGGTCGGCTGACGGAAGCGCAGGCCTTGTACATATTGGAGGAGGCGACCGAGGTGTTGACGCAGGAGCCGAATATGTTGAACGTTCCTGGGCCTGTGACGAGTACGTAGCTCACTGTTGCGGTCTTCGGTCGTCGTGTGCTGGAATAATCTTTGGATCGCAGTATGCGGCGATATACATGGCCAATACGTGCGTCGAACCGGAAATCGCCTCGAGGAGAATCCTTACGCGATGTGATCCATTCCTTTCCCCCAGTATGATCTCATGAAGCTGTTCGACGTTGGTGGCAATCTGGCCGACAACAACTACCTCTTCCTGGGCGATTATGTCGATCGTGGTTGTTTCGGTATCGAGGTGCGTCCCATCCTTGAAGATCTTTTCTCGCTACGATTTCAGTCTCCTCCCTTCACGTGTGGTCCTCGCGCTCATAAACGAATCTCGATAGTGTCTGTTGTACTTGTATGCGCTGAAACTCTGGTACCCCCATAAACTCTTCCTATTGCGCGGAAACCATGAATGTCGGCATCTAACAGAGTATTTCACTTTCAAACGCGAATGTACGCTCCATTTTTTACAGGCACCTGGCGAGAAATATCGTGCTGATATCCGAACAGGTCTACACAAGTATTCCGAACGCGTGTACGAAGCATGTATCAAATCATTTTGCGCATTACCCGTGACTGCGTTGGTGGAGGGCCGGTTCTTTTGCGTGCACGGAGGAATATCTCCACAGCTTAACACGTTCCAGGATATAGCTCGGGTGAGCCTTACTCATACTTGCATGCCCTCGAGGTCAACATGTCTGATTCGATCTCCTGTGACCAGATGGACCGTTTCCAAGAACCCGGGTCTCATGGTCTCCTCTGCGATCTGCTGTGGGCAGGTGCAATCCATAAACTTAGAAATATGGAGCGCGGGCAATGCTGACCACGTGTGCGCAGATCCCGTCGAGAACTTCGGCCATGAAGATGAACAACCACCAACACCGGGACGACCGAGTGCGGCCGGTCAACTATTCTTGCACAACGAAACAAGAGGGTGCTCGTGGTTTTACACGTGAGCCCATAGCCTTGCGCTATCAACGTTTTCGTTGACTTAAGACCTCTCCGTGCCTTAGTTATGAGGCCGTCTGTCGCTTCCTCGACCGAAATCAAGTGCTTGGCGTCATCCGCGGGCACGAGGCGCAAGACGCTGGGTACACCATGCACCGCAAGCACAAGAAATTTCCATCGGTGATCACCATCTTCTCCGCGCCAAACTACCTCGACGTGTACCACAACCGGGGTGCGGTCATCAAGTACGCGAACAAGAACATCACGATACGGCAGTACAACTGGACAAGCCACCCGTACTGGCTCCCGAACTTCATGGACGCGTTTACGTGGAGCCTGCCGTTCGTCGGCGCGAAGAGTGCGTCACTGTCACTGCCATCCTCTCACCATCTCTGTTCCCGTCTGACGCACAGTTTTCTTGTGGACAGTTGTGGAGATGCTACTCGCTGTGCTGAGCGTGTGCTCAGCTGAAGAGCTGGAGGAGGGGGAGGAGGAGGGCTCGTCTGGCTCAGAGGACGAGACGCGGACGATCGCCGACCTCGCGCTCACGCCGAGCGAGATCGCGCAGCGGCGGCAGCAAATCAAGAACAAGATCCTTGCCGTCGGCCGGATGCAGCGCCTGTTCCAGCTCCTTCGAGAGGAGGCCGAGAACGCGTCCGAGCTTGCCGCACCCGAGGCTCCCTCCGGCGAGCGGCCGACGAACGCGCTCGGCGTGCAGGTCAACCAGGTTCGGCGGTATATTCGGACCTTCGACGACGCGTAAGTGCTTCGCGTTGTACTGAATCTTTGCTCGCATATCTGATCGCGTTGATGACATAGACGCCGTGTGGACCTGGCGAACGAGCGCTTACCGCAGGTGTCTGCTGATGACCCCGCGGCGAACTTCCCGCTCGTGCCTGTGCCGTCTATGCGGCCGTCGATGTCCCGGCGTAATACGGAGATGCTTATACACGGCGTGTCGGAGGGCGAGGAAGACGAGGATGGTCAGGTGGCACAATTGGCGGAGAGGATCGCGATGGGCAGAACGCCGTCGACGAGGCGGAGAGCGTTAAGGCGGCACGATACGGCGCCCTGATATGTGAAGGGGGGGACTGTAAATCTGTTCGTAGTGTTGTGCGTAGGGACGTGGTACTTCCACTTCATTGCTTTTTGTACCGTTAGGGATGTCCAAAAGAAGATAAGCGCGTCAGTTCGGCGGCTGCCATCTCGTGCCTACCCTTAACTGCGCCCACCCTAAACAACGACACGCTCTGCCACGTCCTTACCATCGACTCATCATGATTCAGTACCGTACATCCACTCGACCAGGAGAGGTTCGTGTAAATGGCCGTTGCTCTGGACGCTCTGTATACTTGATTAGCAAGGTCGCAAGCGCGGATGGACTCCATCCATCTAAGATACGTGCCTGCTCTGCGAGGGATTCTCAACTCCGATTCCGGTTTTCCGTGCTTGGAAGATTTCCGGCTTGTCACCGTTTCGTATGATATGGAAGTGCCATATTCTCACTAGGCTCCAATGCTCTCACCCTTGCCGTGTAGACAGACGCATGCGAATGGCTCTGAAGATCTGACGAATCGGAGAGGTGCTATTCTACGTGTTTCACCATACTTCCTCGCCCTTCGGCAACGGTGTGCCATTATCACTTCGATCTGTTCAAAGCGTGCGACTAGAACCGTATTCCACCGGTACACTCCTTTGCGCAGCTACCCTTTGATGTCATTAACCTCATGAACACCGCTATTCCTGAACACTGACACGCCGGTGCGAGTACGCTCTACATATGCGGTACGATCTGAACTTCTCCGTATTCCAAACCCAACTGGTGATGTCCCACTTGTGTCGGTCCTTCAACCTTTGCGCCCCGCCTTGCAGTAATCATCATAGGCTAACCTGATCGATGCTTTACGAACCCACGCATAACTTCGCGATCGGAATGGCACAGAGATTCATACCGTCTGCTGGTCATTGACTTACACAGTACGCCCAGGAGCATGATTGCCATTGGAGCGCCACGAAGCCGATTGCTATCGCACCCTGCTCCACCCGGGAGTGCCAGTTTCTTATATATGCAGGCATTCCAGGAAAACACGCGATCATTGGTTCCGACAAGAAGATATGTTCACTGGGGCTCAGCGCGCAGCACTCGCAGTAAGCTATGATCATGTTGCTGTCATAAACAATCATTCAGTCTGCACGTAGTTGGCGGGGGTGATGGGACTTCTTTCATCGCTCTCGACCCTATCACTACTGGGATATGTCTTGGTTCGTTCCAACCTCGCTGAACAACATGCACCAATTTGATCGCTTCCTCTCTCAAAGTACTGTAGCACGCGTCGCGCGCACCGCTCGGATCTCGCAAAAGGCATCCATACCTTCGGCGGTAGCCAAATGGGCAAATACCTGATGTCTCTGCTTCTGTCGGACTTCATCCAGGGCACGGCATACATCATGAACTTCCGATGGGCCATTCAAGGGAACATGACACTCGGGAACGTATGTGACGCACAAGGTATGTCTTGTGAGAATCTAAGTGGTCCCGTAATACCAGGCTGAGTAGTATTCCTTGCATATAGGCATAATGCTGCAGATTGGGGATCTCGGTATCGCGTTATGGTGCGATCCGTATGGTTCTCCCAGCAAATCGAGCTCACGTTTTTGCTCTTCCCTAGGTCTTTCACTCTTGCGGTTCATACCTTCTCGTGAGGAGCTCCGAAGTGAGGTTAGAACAGTGATTGATTTTCTCAAAAAGGTTACTGTTTCTGCGGCGTAGACCCGCCTCCTGGATTACACCGACGCTATTGCTTGGTTTCTGGGCTTGGATTTCTATCATGCCCATTGTTGGGTCGCTTGTTTTGCAAGATCACAAAATGCACGGATCGTTTTGGGGCCCTTCAGGTTGGTAAATCCTACACTGTGGCCGCTCTGTTAATATGACGGGTATGGTAGGTGCGTGGTGCTGGATATCATCTAGCTACGAGGTCAAACGTGTGCCTTTTCTGTTGGTGGGTGTGGTGTCCTACCTTTCATTGAGATGGCTGAATGTTTTATTGTTTCATTTAGGCATGGGTTTTTACGGCTTTATTCTCGTCTTTCATCATGTACTGTACGTTCTACTTGTCTTTCCCTCCGAGTCGTCACGTCACACTTACCATTTGCATAGCTCTCATTTACCTGAAGCTCGCGGGCGTCATTCACACGGAGACATTCTCGCGTCAGTCGCTAATCTCATGGATGAGATACTCCAGAGATGACTCGTTGCGCTCGTCAAGATCCCACGTCTTACAGTCAGTGTCCGTCAGAGACTGGTCCGACGTGGATGGGTGGGGCACATCGAAGCATATGATCGAAGTGGCTCAGCGACTCCTCTGGTACCCTGTCGGTCCGCAACCTGCTCGTCTACCCATGCGACCTTCTCTGACATTTCACGTTTTTGTGTAGTTTACACTATCATCATAACACCGGTGGCGATCTGCAGAATCGGTAGTCTTGCGGGTTGGATTCCACCGTTTTGGCTGTACGCGCTATCAGGGGTGATGTTTGCGAGCTGCGGTACGTTCGTGCCGATCCTGACGATCGTACATCAAACTCATCTGGTTTATTCCAGGGATATGCGATGCCTTACTATTCCTCTTCACGCGGCAAACTTTTATACAAAACATTCGTCAACCCATCCAAGTGGCCACGCATCGGGTGACGGTGCAAGACAGCGATTCTCTGCAGTGTCCTGCAGCGGGGGATTTTGATCCAGCGAATACATCGAGACGCTATGCGCTCAAGCTCGACCCGGAGTTCAACGATGCGGAACACTGCCTCGATATCAAGCCGCATGTTGATCACCATTCACATCCTTCGTCAGTCGATGTGGGTGGTCCGATGGACTGGACGGAACCACCTCAATCAGGACATAAGTAACGAGAATCGATGCGCAGAATGACATGTATTATTCCACGATTGCCACATGAACGACCGCCCCACGGTGGAAAGGACAAGTACACTACGCAAACGTGGTCATGTACCACTTGGGCCTCTCCTCATACCCGAACTCTTGCTGCAGCCTGGTAATCGTCTCCTCCGTGGGACGCTTGTCAGGGGGCGTGTAGTTGTCACAAAGTGACCACAGTCCGCCGAACCGATCCTGGCCTTCCTGTACACCGTACACCTCCTCGACCTTCAAGTTGATCAAGGGCTCGAGGTGCCATATGATATCAAAGACGGTCTGATTCTCGAGCAGGTCGCCCACGTAATCGGGATCATCTGCACGTGCCAAGCCTTTCTTGAAACTCGCCAAACCGTTCTTGATCGCATAATTGCGCAAGATCTTCTTGTCCATGGGCCACCCGAAGTAAAACTCCGGCGGAGCGTACTTCAAGGGTTCAGACCAGGCATCAAACTCTGCCGGCAGTTCGTCGAATGGAACAAACTTGTCAAGGATCACTTCCTCCTCCTAGATGATGCAATGAGTCTCAGACTTGCGTTCGAATGATGTTAACGCTCGCCTGTGGAAGGCGGTCCACTTTGTCCGACCATGACGGAATGACGTATTCAAACCAGGGATACTTTTTGAGATCGGGTTTGAGAATGGACTTGTTGGGAGGTACAGTGTGAGGGTAGACAACATTAGGCTGAGGGTCGATATGGATGGAATCGGGAGAAGACATGTTCGAAAGTCGTGGGCTGAGTCGCGGCAAGCAGAAGTGTTGACTTTATATGTATTCCACGTGGTTCTCCGAAAGATCTCAGCCTGCAATAAACTGCTTCGCGATGCATTATACTAGGAAGTGGAGATTTCGATTGTTGCAAAGATTGATCGATGGGCCCGACAGCTTGTCCAGAGGAATACTGCGGTCTATAAAGGAGCTGAGGCAGAGATGCTCTCTCGTAAAGCGTCCACGTCGCTTTTCTTACTAAACTTCGATCAATTAACAGCTCCGTATTGTTATAACGCACGACCATTGATAAATTTATCGACTACGTCAGGAACCTGCTTCCAAATATTACCACGGGGGTGTTCCCTCGTATCCCCGAATGGCCTGCAATCTTGCGATCTGCTTCATCGACGAACGTTGGTGAGGCGGCGTATAAGTCGAATAGAGCGACCAAAGGAGCGCGGTCGGACCCGCCGTAGGATGCGGTAAACCATACATATGCCTGAGCGTGAGGACATCTTCGAGATATTCTTCCATCTGTGTCAGGGTCCACATATCGTTGATCCGGTCGCTAGCTTTTACGGGTGACTTATTCTCCACCGAGATTCCCCGTCGTCCTTAGGATACCGGACCAGGTTCACCCTGCCGGCGAGGGAATTCGTGGTCTTTGGGCCCTCGGGCCAGTCAAAGAGAACGTCGGCGGGATGTACTTCAGCAGTCCGGCCCTAGGGTCGGAGACCACCGTATGCCAGCGTAAAGTAGAATGATTGGAGATTTCGGAACTGTGGTACCCGATTTTGTCCTAGTTGGTTGCGGGGAAACCTGAGACAAAGCCTTCACGAAGGTGTCTATGGGGACGCGTCGGGTTCGGCAATCTCGGTTGGTGGGAGCACGGCAGGTATGGGCGAGGATGAATGAGAGAGTAAGAGTCGAATACATCATCACGAACCGGGTAGATGTGATGGGATATGCGCGATGTGGACATCATGTTGTCTGGCCCTTCCACAGATACTCTGGATGTCGATGCGTCCAAGATGCGAGTCCTTAAAGCGACTGTCTGTTTCTGCATAGAAGGATGACCATAGTTAGGCACGGAACATCAGTCTCGTTTTGTCGTGTACCCTCGAACGTGACGCACCGAGAGGATGCAACCCCCGTTCAGTGCGAAATCCATTATGTATCGACCTATCTATCATGGTAGCTGGCCATGTCAACGCCATGAGTCGTCCATGAGCGCTACAAGTGGAGTGTAAGTTCGCATTGACACAAGATGAGACGTAGGGCTGCCATTGAGAGAGGAGAGGTCGCCGTAAGTGGGAAAGCCGCCGCGCAGGTTGTCTTCGGAGTCCCGGACGTTCGACTCTTTGCTCTCTGCAGCCACTTCGGCCACTTCACGTAACGCCTACATTCTGATGGACAATGGCGATGGACTTACGTTTCCTTCTCCTGGGTTGGGTGAGTTCAATACGTGGTATAGAGAGTATTGAGACCTCAATGAAACCGGATGCAGTGAATTCATCTGTTAGCTGTCTACGTATGAGATACCTGCGAAATACGAATCATATACCAAGATGAATGTATGGAGCCCACCGACATGGATCGGGATGAGTTCTACGCAGCGCCTGCACTGCTCTATCGAGTGCGTATGCGACGTCGTCTGGATCGATATACTCCTTGTCACCATCGAATATGTCCCGATACACCGACTTGGCGATGAGCGGCCCATCGACATCCTCCATAGACCTGTTCATAATGAGATGGGGTATACTATGAAGCTAGCGGACGTACCACAGCGTTGCAATCACGCTCTTGAAGCCAGCAAACAACATTGTAGCGGCCAGGTGAATGATTTGATCCGGTTGTTTCTACAGAGGTGTGTCCAATTCAGGCTAGTTTAGAATAGTCAGAACTATCTACTGACCTTATCTCCTTTTGCAGTCTCGCATGCACTCAAGAAACCCAAGAACGCGTTCGGTAGCGGCATCATCGTCAACCTTTCAATCGTCAACATTTCGTCCCGCATGACGAACCCGCTTTTGAGAGGATCTTCCGCATTCTGATGACCATGGCACGCAAGGTGTAGAATGTTCGCCTGGGGAAGGTTCTCGAGCAGCGTCTCGGCCCTCATTCCGCCACCATCTCCCGTCAAGGCATCGTCTTCCGGGTACAGAGGTATGACCACTCCTTCTGGTAGAGCATCTCGGACGATACCCACTTCGTCGCGCGTGGAAAGTAGATCAGCCCATCGAGGCAGGGAAGATCGTGGTACCGCGGCCACCAAAGCACGCATCTTACTCCGGTGGATTGGCGTATACGCCTGTCTCGCGGACAGAAGAGCACCGATGGTCGGCGTATAAGAGGATACCATGTAGTCGGAGCACCATTCCTCATCGGCACCCGCGGCGTGGATAGGAAGATGCGCGAAATGGCCGGTGGCACACCACCATATGCGGGGGCGGTCTTTACCTGCGCTGGGCTACGTATTCGTAAGTTTAGCTTCACTATTGAGGTGAAGACGGAGACTCATACCGAGATTTCTAGAGCTAATATGACTGGCATTACCACCTCCACCCACAAGTGTCGCAGAATCGCGTTGGCCTTCGTGTGCGGAGCTTTCCGCCGATCGGCCGTTTTCGACAGTTTGAGGCGATCTCTCAGGATCGATCTCGCTTCAGTAGCCAACGAGCGCCATGCCGAGCTCGATTCCACGAGCCAGGAATCCACAACTCGCCCAAGAGGAATATCAATGGGTTCGCCGGAGGACCTAAGGATGACAGCATGACAGCCCGAGCTGCCGGATAGGAGAATGACCAAGGGTCCCTTGCACACTGCCTTCACCAGCTGGGAGTACTCATCCGGGAGGAGGAAACGCTCCAGGCCTGGTATGCTACGCACTTTCCCGAGAAGTGAGGCAAATTCTTCGCTCTGCCGCCTTCTCAAAGCTAGTTCTGCTTCCATAGCCCGTCGCCCCAACTCCGACTCGTCATTGCCCTGGGCGGTGCCGCCGTTGCGTTCTAGCTGTCGAGCCAACGACACTAAGCTTTCACGCAACTCGGCAGGAACATCATCGAACGGGGATCGCAACCGCAATATGTGCGTCCAGAAAACGGCGCGACCCTGCTCAAGAATCTCTATCGCCGTTTGTGGAGCTGACATGGCAAGGGCGTGACATGCTCCATCCAAGGCCACGGTCTGACCGGCCTGCAGCGAAAGTAGGCGTGAGTGAAGGTGAAGGCCCAGAAATGCGATGCGAGGTAGCAGATTGACTGTCTGTCGGTATACGTCTAGGAGTTGGCAGCGGTGGCATCTAGTTTTGCGCAACAGTCGCGGCTAATAGCCGGGGACGGGCTTGTCGTATACCACGGCTATTTAGCCGTTTTTTTGCACGACGGGCGATTGGGGTAGCATTGATCGCACATTGACGCGGCTATTGGCCGGCTAATGTACTGCATCCGAGGCTTCCTTAGTCAGGGCAATCGGAGAATAGCTGCCGAAGCGCCTAGCATGGCGTTGAATATGGATGGGAGACGTGGGAATAAATCCCTGACGCTCACTTCCCCGCCCGTCGTTCGCTTAGCCTCTGCCTCCGCCTCCGCCTCCGCCTCCGCCTCCGCCCAGTCGTTCGCTTAGCATCCTGCCCGACGTTCGCTTAGCATCCCGCCCGACGTTCGCTTAGCATCCCGCCCCGACGCTCCCTCAGCATCC